TCCGGAGGCAAATCATCCGTAGTGAATACTCTGTTTGAGATGATATTCAATGTTTCCTCCGCAATCCATCTGTTCTTGAATCAATTATGAAGGGCTATGCTAATTTCAGACAGCTAGAGAAGAGACAAAACAATAGACACAAGCACAAGCCACGTCTCGCGGAGCATGAGCCACTTTTCTCATGTCGATCCTCCTGGCTGAAGTTGAAGAGAACGGACCATTGGCGTATCAAAAGTCTCTGTCCCTGAATTTCGATTCAACACCAAACGGCCTCAGTAGTAGTGCTTTCAGTCTCGACTTCAGTATAGCGTGGCAGATTCGCGATTTAAAGCGTGACTTTAGTTTTACTGGACTGTGACTGAGATGCGATGTGATGTGATTCGGCTAAGTACAGTACAGTATTGCACCTAGCTCAGATAAGTTGATCCTTGTCTCTCTAGCAAAAGTGGCTTTTTGGCTATCGTTCAACGTGCGTCAATGGTCAGACCAGATTCAATATTTCTGCCTCAAATCTATAATGTACCGTATATCTGGAAACCCGATCGGTCACCGCGTCAACCTCGCGTCCTTAACTCTTCTGGCCTCAATTAATTCCTTACATCTGAGCTGCAAGTTTCAAGTCTCCCTCCCTCACTGACGTCTTTAACCCGGTGGACCTGAACCTCAACCTCGAAATACTTTTCCATTTAAAGCCTAGATCCCTGCAACTGCAGTAAGCTAGTGGCTTTTGCCCCGCACTCTCTTTTAGATTTACTCTGGGCTCAGGCTCAGACTCAGACTCAGCGACTTAATGATGGAGATATATTAAAATACGTACTCAGTTGCCTCTCGAGATGCTACAGTCTCCCCAGAGATGGCAAAAGACATGAAACAATGACCTGGCGTGTTTCGGACCCTTCTATTCATCTAAGAGACCGGCTGCTCCTACGCATATCCCCGTGAAACGGTGGAGATTGAAAGTATCGAATCTTGAACAGAGCCGCAATACTTCGGAAGGAGTTGTCTTGTCTTGTAAAGCAGCCGGTAAGTAACAGTAACAGTAACAACAACAGTAACCTCGGTCATGTATTACTCGGGACGGCTAAGTAATGTATGCGTCGTACGGCACGCCTGCAGAAAGGCTTGCAGAAGTGCTGCCACTTTCAGATGCTGCAGAAACACCAATCGCAAGAGACAAAGAATTCTATACGTCAGGATGTGCAAGCACTTTAGAAACGAGGCTTAACTTTAGGGGAGTTCTCGTATGTTGAACTTCCTTTTTCCCCTGAAGGTGAGCGCGTTAGGTTTCTCCTATATTCCAGGTGTACATACTGCAGTATAAGATACGTACTCTTAAGTCTTGGTGCTGCACAGTTAAGGGTCAAGTTACAATAGGTAAGGGTGCGAGACAGTCAGAGACACGTTGATCCGTCCGTCTCGGATCGAGTTGCTTGATTCTGGCGTCAGCCTGATTTGACTTTGAACTTTTTTGTTTCTTGTTAAGGACGCAGACATCATCATCCCTCGCTTCGCCCTGCTGCCGTGCATAGTGTTGCGTCGTTGCCTCCGCCTCGACTCATCCGTCAACGAATAACGCCCAAGCCGAGACGCTGATGCTGACACTTTGACACCCGACCTACTGAAATCCATGCCTGTAGCTTGTAGTAAGCCTGTAGCTGGAACCAAAAGACCCTTAAGATCTACCCCGTCCCCTTGCTCGCGTGCGCCCCCATTCCCATTCCCAACCCCATTTTCCCTCTTTAAACGTGTTTTGTGAGATAAACGCCAAAAAAGCGCCTTGGAAAACGCGCGAGCCTTTTAGATGATTTGCAGCTCGATACACGTTCCACGTACATGGGTTGCTGCGAGACGCGTGAGATGGAGGAGTCCAGTACCTACACTACACACTACACTACAGCACCTTGTGCCTAGTGGTAGCCAGTCCCAGTCCTACAGTACAGTAGTAGCCGCCTGTAATTTACAATACACCAGGGGAGTTGGACAAGTACATACATAAAATTATCACCATCATCGTCATCACCAACAGATATTCCACGCCCATGCCATATTGAGGCTTGTCACGATGGAGCATGTAGGGAGGGAGTCTGCATCACATTGCATCGCATCGTTTCGGCCACTCCATCTCCAACATAGCCCATCGCCGAGCAGAGTTTTTCTTCTTCAACACCAGCATTAGTTTTGCATGAAGCTGTCCGGTCGCAGCCAAACGTTTTTATTACTGCTGACTACTCATATTTCCACCTTTTGAGCGGATGTTGCGGTTCGGCGCTGGGACCAACAATCACTTTAATAAAATTTGAGCCCAGGGCGGACATTGGACAGATGATAAACCTCCTGAGACAGGCCGTTCCCTTCCATGAATTCACTGTATCACTACCGTACTGATCGTTGGTTATCAAGTTGCACGCATTGACTGAACATCCACTCTTTTTTCTTCGTGCCGGACCCGCGAGAGCAAAGCTTTATTCGGGTGAGAGATCTTTACCTCTCCGAGGACTGAAACCCGCGTTTGCGGATGTCACCAAAGTGGTTCAGAGTGGGTTTTTTTACTACCCTCTATTCTTCTTCCTCCTCTTCCTCCGGCCCGCGGCGATGGATACAGCCCCTCTCTCTATCCTCGACAATTGCCGTGAGCCGCTCAGATTCAATACATACGTAACATTTTATCTGGTTTGCCCGACAGAGTGGTACTCGATGGACCATGGGGCTGCAGATTCAGTTTTTCTTAATCCGCTTCATCTGTAACTTTTTTCCATCTCGTCCCCGACCATACTGTAATTTGGGGTTATCCACGATCACGACTCCGTACAGGAGGGATCCAGAAATTGCACTTGCACAAAACACCAAGCACAAAATGCACGTGTCAAAATCCTGGAGCCGTACCTAACTTGGGATAGCAAGCAGCTTTTTAGAGGCCGTCCAATGCAAAAATGTTCCAGAAGCCTTCCATAAAGCGGAGCCTCCCGCCTAAAATGACGGCACCTTTTATCTCCTTCTCACTGGCCACTGGTTCTCAGTGGAATGAGGCTGAATCACCCGAGCACCATTCTTTTTTTGGTTTGGCACTTGCACTTGCACGCACCTGCCCCCACACCTCATGGAAAGAACACGCTAAATTACGGTACTGTACCTTCCTCCAGGGTCCATTTTTACGCGCTTCATCAGAGCTCTTTCCGTTCCTTACGGATTCTCTCTTTGGCTAGGTTCTCCTTTCAATCAATCTCTGTCTCTTATTACTCCTGTGCACGCCTCTCTCCTCCACCATCCACGCCAACCTGGGTCTCGTGACCAAACGTTATGCAAGCCTTGGCTTGTCTGCCGGCCTGCCGCAGAGATGATCCCCTAAGCTACTAAGCGGGTCAGACTCCATCCCTCGCTTCTTCACCACAGCGACGCAAGGCAAGGTCAGCCAAACTGGATCCATGACGCCTCTACGGAAACGCCATCCTCTTTCCACGAACCGAACGAATGCAAGGGGAGTCTAACCATAACCAAAAGAAAAAAGGAAGCAAAAAACCCACTTGGTTCTAACCTACCAACCGCCAGGCAATACCTTGCTTGCCGGAACTGCATCACCCACGGTATACGGGCCACGGGCTCCGAAGAGAAAAGTGTCATCAGAATACAGAAATCTTGATCGAGAACGTGAAAGACGAAATAGCTTGGTCACCTTATGCAAGCTTACGCCAGCGCTTAGGCTATCGGTTTTTATCACCTCTAAGCTTAGAGGACAACCTTTTTGGTATCCACTGGCCATGCCAACCTCGCGTTTTTCAGCGACCTTTGCAGCGGATAGGCATGAAAATCTTAATCCTCCCCCATCCGAAAGATACGTCTTTTACTTAATAACCCTCACCAGCTCCTCTCGCGCAGCGTTTCTCTGGTGAATGGCTATTTTCGCCACCAAACCCTGCCTTAGTGCTCGGTGTTACTGTACTCTTCAGTCTGGATTTATTCGGCAACTCGCGATAAAGAGACGAACCCCGGCAGTCAACATTTCAACCAAAGGCCCCGCAAGAATACCGATGGATTTGAAATCATACTACCTACGTATGCTACTGGAGAATGTCGGTATGGAAAACTTTTGAGACCCATTCGACGGAGGAAACCGAACCAAGTGACTCGGAAGAGATTTTTCGTGATAGCTTCAACCTGTTGCTATCTCAACTGGGTTCTGGCCCTAGGGTCTAGTGGATCCTCAGGGCAAGAATGTGTAGATCACCTGGACAAACATTCTTCATCTCTGCACAAGACTCTGTGTTGGCGGTTGAAGTCAACCGTTGAGCCTTCATGCAAGCCCAAAGCTTGGTCAAACTTGAGTCTGATATGTGCCTACTGAAGCTGTTTCTCACTTTGAACCCTGGCTCAAGACGGCATGGATGGCCTCTTCGAATCTGTTTACTTGCCCAGTCACCCTTGGACCCTTCAAAACCATACCAGGGTCGACATTCCGTTGCAATGTCTCAATAGACCCTTCTGGTCCCTTGAATGGACAAGTCTTGAAGTTGTCAAACATGAAGCCATGTTTTTTGCGGTTCTCCAGGGTAAGATCCACTTGCGGGTCTCGTTTCGCGGGGATGCATATGCGCTATCTCATTGGTCAGTTCTCAATTGAGCAATCTGCTTATGATGTGAGTAACATCCATGACCTAGCCTAAACTGATTCACCCGCTACACCAACAGAAAGGGCTTGTTGACGTTCCGTTTCACTTGAAACTTCCCCGCATCTTTGTTGTTGATGCCCTCATACCTCGATGTTCTGTATTCCCCACCAATTTGACGCTCAAAATGGCGCCAAGTGGTCACAACCAAATCTACAAGGATGGAACCCGGGAATAATGTTCAATTACCAAGTTATCTGCTTCAGAATATGCACATCTGTGGCCCAACAGCATCACATGTTGAGAAGAAGCAATAATTGGTAGTTACTATGTTGCCGCGGACAATGGAACTTATATCGCGCGCGGTATCGTGTTTCAAAATAAACATAAACAATCAACATGGGCATGGAGATAAGACGCAGAAACACCGAGGGGGATGTGTTCTGCATCCGAAAGAGACAGATGCGAGTCAGCGACAAGGGTACGGCAGCTCTCGCACAAACCCACGATCTTGGATCTCAAGCCAACAAGGCCAAGAAGCCGACCATCCAGTCAAATGTTGAAGACATCCCGAAAGGGATTGGTTTCCAGCTTTGCATGCATTTTCATGACGACGTTGCAGTCAATGGTTCGTCTTTGAAGGCCGACCCCTGGCATTTTTAGGTTGATAGCCGCTACTTTTACTCTCAAAGTCTACCCTACCAAAGGCTACCTGCCTACCAACCTGTTGCGGATCAAGTCCCAATTGCCTAGTCGGGCTAAAAGCCGGCCTTCAGGAACTGGAAACTGTCAGCTAGAGGTGGGAGGCTGTGAAAATGGTCATGACCGAGCGGCCTATCAGCGTTGAGAATGGACATATCGGCTGTTGGCGCGAACGTCCCCCTCCGCAGATCCATGCTTATCTATCCATGCATGTGAACATGTTGGTGTTTTTGGGTTCATGATGATGGCGATTTTGATGGGATTTGCAGAGAAGGATGATGGATTTACAGTAGCATGGCGCTGTGTTGTACGAGAGACGTCAATTGATCAATTGGAATAATTGACATGGAGAACGATCTTTGGGCTTCGTATACTACCGAATTTGGTCCAATGAGGGCATGTTCGGAGAAGCTCATCAAACTCGCCGAGCCGTAAACATAATTATCACGCAATTGAGTCAATTCGTTGTCAGACAATAGCGCTGGCAGATTTGACAGGGCACAGCCTTGTTGAGGATCAGTGGTGAAGTCGAGGTCTCGCTTCTGGTTGGCTGATGGTATCGCCATGTTTGCTTTTTCGAGACACCAAAGTCGGAAGCTGGAATCTCCAACGCCAGTAGGCCAGCCACCGAGAGGAGGGGTCCAATATAGGCGAGGCCGAGCGACGATTTGGCTGATTCAAAAGTTGCCTGTCTTACCATTGAAGCAAATATTCTGCACGACTGACGGCCCGCGGAGCGTTTTGTCGAGTCGGATAAACCACTGACATATACCGCATACCTGACAAAGATCAAGAACACAGGAGGTATGAAGAAGACCAGTCGCGATGACGGAAAAGCATTCTAGTTAGTTGGAGCGCGGTTTTTACGATCTTGAGCATCTCTCGCCCGTTAAGTTGGCCAGAGCGTCTATGTACCCCTGCTCGCTCGTAGCTTGGCTCGTGCGGCGGTCATACGGTTCGTCGTCTTCTTTTCTTGGTTCATCCCCGCAATGGGCCAGGAAATGGGACCTGTGGGGTTCATGATCGCGATTTGAGAGTCAAGTCGATCAACAGCCATGGATTTCTGTCGGTTTCTGTTTCGAGTTACAAATATATGAACGATGAAGATATTCGCATGAAAGTCTCGAACTTGGTACGGCATGTGCAGTCTCAAGTTCGGGTGACAGTACATGACGGGCTGTCAACACGAGCAAACCCAATGGCCTAGAGCTTTACGCCCAATTGTCATCGTGCTGTAAGTTCAGTCCCCGACGATGAGCTAGCAAGGCTCAGGGTACAAGACTAGCTCTTGAATATCAGGCGATTTGGAGAGTACGAACACCTCTAACCGTTGAGGCGCCCGCGTATCACCAAAAAATCCCAGGTCGTGCGTGCGTTGTCAACGCTAGTTTCTTGATTGTAATCGATTCCCCATGTTTGTTTCAACAGCTCTACGCAAATGCGATGTAACCTGGATCGTATCAAACAGCTCATGCCATGTGCCGAGTGGACCGAGGAGGCAAGAAGCATAAAGAGAGACTCTAAAGAAGATTGATTGACATTGACATATGATAGGTACTTGGACTGTGGCTTGCTGGTTTCGGTTCTTTATTTCCAGTTACGGATTGGATGGCGCGCCTTAGTCTGTGGCTTGAGCTATTGTTGACTACGAGATATTTTGCCTCTGTACCAGTCCTTCTTGGATGAAGAATACCAAGAAGATGGTTCTTGTTTACCAACTTCTGCAGAGGCAAAGGCAAGAGATCTGTTTCGCGTGCTTCAAATGCAAATGCAAATACAAATGCAACTGCAACTGTAGCTGCATGCATCGAATATGTACTGCGCCACGACAGAGCAAGGATGATCAACAGGTTCTTCTGCGCTATGATTTGAGAGTTGAGACTCTGAGAATAACAATAAACAAACGGAAAGGTCGATATCCGAAGGGTTGAATTCTCCGATAGGATCAAGGCCCACACACTCTCTTCATGGCGCCATTGTTGGTCTGGTCGGGGAGATTCAAGTGTGGCTGATTGTTGTTGTTTCTTTACCCATGATCCATGCAGGTTCAGGATCCAATAGAGGATTCAAAGAAGACCACGCTTGAGGTGGTTGTTTGTTGATAAGCGAAGCAGCTGAAACGCTTCTTTTACCCAAGTAGAGCATCAATTATCGTGGAAATCTGGTATAATCCCTGCCTACTTGTTTCTAGCTACAGCACAGACCCCGCAAGGTTGCATACGAATCACCATCTTAATCGGCGATTACTCTGCTTCATCGATGAACTTGGCTGCCAAGGAAGACGGGAAACATGGAAATCTACTTTGCGGTGTTTTTGGCCATGATACTAGACCTGACTAGCATCAAGACTGCAGTAATGGAACATGCACAATGTTATTCCAAAATCAAGGTACACCAGTATTATCAAAACATCTATAGGGCTGCAAAATCAGGGCATATCGTCCGTGGGAGTCACACAACACAATCCTAGATGCCGTTGAACTCGTTCACGAGGCGCTGTACGACGTCGCGCATGTGCAACAAACGGGATGCAGTTGTCCAGGGACAGGGCGGTTCCTACGGCACAGCGCAGGTGAAGAGAATAGAGGCAAAGTAATTCGCTCTTGGAGGTTGGGGGAAGCGAGATGGATGGGACGGGTTGACGCTACGGGCCGCCGTGATGAGTTGGGGTGATGGTATAGGTTAGGGAGATTGGACTTGGTGATATTGATGGTTGTATAGGTTGTATGGTGAGTTGTTGTTGTTATCGTATATGAACGCGTCTTTTTGTTTAATGGCCAATTAATATTACAACCCTTCCTAAATCCTTGTCAACATGCCTAGAGAAACCTGTTCTCATCCAAGATAAGGCACAAAACCCGAACCAACAGTCTCCCATAATCAAACCGTCAGCAGCGTACTCCAAAACAGGCTGGCCCGTCCCAGCGACCCTGGGCGAAAGGCTTGCAGGACTTCCTCCCGAGGGGCTGGATGAGTGCTGTGATTGGTGATTTTGATGCGCTGAGGATAGGTGTCGTGGTTCCAATCGATGGGGGTGATGGTTTTTGACAGGTGTGATGGATGCTGTGTGCATGAGTTATTGATTGATAGGGACTTTGGGTGCGACCGTCTTTTGGGTCGGTCAGAGGTCTTGGTTCATGCGCTTTAGTAGAGGGAGGCGTGTATTTAAGTGTTTGGATGTTGTAGGGAGGGCATGGAAGAGCCCCAGAGAGCCACGAAGAGACTCCCAGATACCAGGCAGTGGTATAGCGCAACAGCCTGTAACTACTAGAGTTTGTTTATGAGCGTAATTGCTTGCTTCGAGCCATATGAGACTATATCGTTTGATAGTCTTCATCTTGTTGCAGTTGATCGACGAGTATTGAATGCGTGGGTTCACTTTGGTGACTTCTGTATGAAGCCGACTGGAAGCAAACAGAACTCCCGTCACGACAGTCAACACTGGCTTCCACCAGGAAGCTGCCATGTTCCTTTTTCTTGTCCGATGTATGTGAGCGCTCGTAGATGATGCGCGACTGTATGGAAAGGCAATGCGTTATGAAGCCCCTGAGAGAAGCATGTATCTGGACCATGGCGTATGACGACGATATATCGAAATTGAAGTACTGTTATATCACTGCAAGACTATAGTCTAGCGATGTACGATCCAATGTTAAGAATAGAGTCTTTCTGGACGGCGAATACTCTGCCTCATCACCTGTATCGAGTAGCGTTGAAGTCCTGCAATGTGTCATAAGGAAGTCGGCATCACCTTTCTACCAAGAAGTATATCGCGATGTATCGTGTCTTGAATCGAAAAGCTGTATTTGTTCTGGGTTTCTTAAGCCAAGTATGTTTCTATCTACCAAGCAAATCATCTGTAGTACTGTCGCCATGATACAACACCTATGTATGCAATCATATCTCGTCCACTGTTTAATCTCGTTATTCTTTTTCTTTTCCATACCTCTCATTTCATTCTTGTTGTTCATCGATCGTCATAACACATAGTCATATATACACCTACAGATACGTGAGCTCAGCCATCTCGTTTAAGCCTGAGGTGGAAGAACGAGTTCATCACGGTTGCCGACCTCGACAAAGCCTGACTCGCCCTTGAACACGTATTCCACACGGAGAACCTTCTCCTGACCAGGCGCGGGGTCCCAGAAGCCTGGCAGACGACTCTTACGCACGCCTTGAGGGATCACCAATGCAGGCCCGTTGGCGTAGGTAGGCTCGTTGACCAGGGCGGCAATGGCGATTGTCACATCGGCAACATCATCGCCTGGCACCAGCAAACCGTCTTCACTGGGGATACCGTATCTCGCGCTAATGATCACAAGTCCTCCAAGAGACATCTGTTGCTTCTGGCGAACCTCGACGGGCTGTGCGAGGAGCGTAGTGACGTTGTCTGCTTCGTATCGATGTCGAGCAATGGCGACAGGCTTGCCGGTAGAAGAGACATCTGAACGAACACGTCGATGACCACGCGAGGCTCGTTGACGACGGCGATAGCTCAAACCAAGCTGCACAGCAGCAAGACCGGCAAAGGGCAATGCGCCAGCCCAGAAGAGTACCTGGGGCCCAAGGAGCGATCGCGGCGCAATGAGCAAGGGAAGACTGAGTCGTTGACCGAGACGAGACCAGTAGACGGAGAGGTGAAGGTTGTGCAAGCTCATACCGACCTCGATACCGATGCGTGCAAAACGACCAACAGACCAGAGGTTTCGGACAGCAAAGTATTGATCTTGGAATCTGTTTGAGCAGAGCTCTGCCTCTAGACGTGCAGGTTTGGACATGCCAGGGTCCAGGGACGTGGGAGGAGCTTGGAAGGGCAGAGCTAGATCCTTGCTATATCGTAGAGCACCAGCTGCTGAAGTGGGCGTAGCAGAAGCAGAGATAGCCCATGTTCCATGCTTGCATGTGCTGATCTCGTAATCAAGGCCTCGAATTCCACCCTCGTCACCAGTAGAGTCTGAGGCACCTGGGGCTGGTAGTCTGTCTGAAAGTCCGGTGCGGAAACCAACTTCTATGCTGGGAGTAGCACCGGGGGCCTCAGCATTGAAGAAGTCTGGGTTGATGGTGGAATGCTCAGAGAAGAATCGGTAGTACTGATCAGAACCATAGCCCCAGTCACCACTGTCTGCGCGGAAGAAGCCTGTGCCATGACGCATCATCTGATAGATTCCAAGAGCAGCACGGGGTTGGAACAATGCACAATCCCGTGAGGACTGAATGCTAGTTTCAGCAATGGTAGGGGTCGTGAATTTGGGCAGAAGGAAGTGGTGATAGAAACGGCTTCTAGCAGAGAACTCAGGCAAAACATCGGCCTCCACTTCGATAGCAGTCTTGATCCATCTGAATTTGTCCGGTGACGGAGACATCGAACGATTGAGGAACTCTTGTCTGTACTGAAGGGTTGTCAATGGTGCAAACTTGTTCTCGACGAGCTGCATGAGCCTCTGTCTGGGAATCGTCAGGGGCAAAAGAGGCTGGTATCGGTCGTATAAGAGCGATGTTGGCACTGATGAGAGGTCCTTTGCGATGCCGTACGTAGATCCAGTAATGGATACTGTGGGCGTAGCAACATGGATACCAGGTTGTGCTGGACCATCGATTGCTTCCTTCTCCCTAGAAGTGAGACCTTCTATCCGGGCAATTCCAGGCTGCAGTAACTTCTGCATTCTGGGAAGCTCGACTGTGACGGAATGACTGAAGGAAAAGTCCAGGATTGAGAGCTTTGGCTTGCCGCTGAGAGACTCAGATGCATCTAATCGAATACCCAGATCGGAATTCGTGCTGACACTGTTTTGTATGCGGTCCCGAACAGCTTCTCTGAAAGCAATCTCGTACTCTGACTTTGTCGCTCCATCATCAGCCTTTGCGAACTGATCCAGGTCGTATTGAGCTCGGCGTGCTGGATCAATGAGCGTCTCGAAAGCATCTTGCACTTGGAGAAATTGCTGGCGAGCAATTGGTCGTAGATGTTCGGGGTAGCTGTCTGGGTAAAAGAGAACGAAGAGACGATAGTATGCGTTTCGGATTTGCTGCTGCGATAGCCCCTGTGCATCTTGCGGGAGACAGAAAAGATCGTAAAAGTTGGAGTCTGTAACCACTGAATTGGGAGGTGCAGTGCTGGTCTCTTTCAATGGTGTATCTTTTCCTTTTGTCGATTTCATGGGGGCCTTTTCGTCTGCTTCGGAGTCGTCTGAGTCTTCTTCCTCTTCCTCCTCTTCCTCTTCTGCCTCCTCCTCAACCTCCTCATTTATCCCATTGTCGTAGATGGAGCTTCCATCATCATCCCAGGCGTCAAACTCTTTTCGAGTAGCGGCGAACTGGTCGTTGAGAGAGAATCGAGACGAGGCAGCTCTCAAGGCCGTATTAGAACCTGAGCCGACATAAGAGCCATATGGATTGTTCGAGTTATATGAAGGATACGAAGAATAGGAAGGCGGAGGAGCTGCGGGAGCGGCCGAGGAATAACGAGGTTCTTCGTGTGTTGCTAATGACTGCTTGGATGAGTTCCTCGAGCTGCCACGGTGGGGTCGAGCGCGGGGTACTCGAAGACTGTCTCTATCACGATCACGGTCTCGTTCTCTGTCTCTGTCTCGGTCACGATCACGGTCTTTCTCGCGGTCGCGGTCCTTTTCGCGGTGACGACGACTTCGTTTCTCGCTCATGATGACTGATGGATGGTGTTGCAAGAGGAAGGATTCTCCATTGGAAGAAGGAACAAACAAAAAACAGACAAAAAGTAGTCACCGCCTCGAGTTGGCAAAGCTCGCCAATCACGATGATATGAAAGCGGATGGATCATCTAAAGGCCTCTCGCACGATTGAAGAGTGGGTTGATCCATTGTTAGGTGAAGTTGGGGCTGCCCAAAACTCCACTAGCTTACAGTAGCACTTGCAGCGCATCAAGCTGCAGGGTCTTGAACACAAGAGCAAGATAGCCTTACATTTATTATAGGTCGCTGTTTCTTCTATGCATGTCTACAGCTTCTTCTGAGTCAATTGATATAATACATGTCTTACACGAATCAAGCAATCGCTAATCTTAACTCTCGGTTCGTTAAACTTATATCGTCATGATAGCTGTCGTAAGCCCCATCTCGGATCAGCGGGCAGCTCCAGATCCGCTGATTACCCCATCTTTACAGGGGAGAAACTCACTAAAACACGCTGGACATGTGGCAGCGTTGGATATGGCCATTCATGGTGGGGCATCCCGAACCTCGACTTTTAGACCGCCCAGCCACCCGTGAAAAGCTCAAGAAGCTATGGAACTAGTGAAGCAGCAGGAAGATAGCATCAAGTTAGCTCGATAGTCTGCCAGGTGGGTGTCAGAAGAATTGTCCCCCAAAGCTTAGGCTACAGAAATAAAACAGCCTAAGTGCCAGTCTAAGCAGGCATAAGGTGATCAAGTCATTTCGTCTCTTATGCTCCCCGGGGCCAATTCTTCTGACACCCTGAGGTCTGCTTATGGGATGAATAGAGTCTTGTATACAAGACAGAGATGAGCGTCATCAAGCATCGCAGACACAGTCAATGGATAAAAAATAGTAGCTATAGCAAACAACAAACCAATGGAGGTCAATATCGCTTTCGTTAGGCGTAAACTTGAAGCTCTGCGCTAAGCCAAAGCTTCATGGTTAGTCCTTATACCTCGGCAATCTAGTGACACAGTCTTCGTTTCTGTGGTGAGCTGTGCTTCCACAACATTCGTCTTAATCTCAGATCTTTCATGCATTGAGTCGCTATGCGAACCATCAATGCTATGTTGTGCATTTCAACAAGCTAAGCAAGGATATGGCCTTGTCGATGGTCATTGCTCATAACTTAAATGGTGGTATTGCTGACAAGGGGTGCGAGATAGAAGGCAATGTTTTCAAATGACTACTTTGATGAGAAACTTTGATAGATAGAACTATATGGCGCGCGGGCGTAGGGACAGTTTAGACACTTTCTCTATATGCCGAGTCTCGGTAGAGAACAACGGTTATCGTGTGTTACTAGACTATCGGTGCAGAGATAGCTGTGATAAAATATCAGTGTACATAGATCATCTGTGTCTCTGCTGGATCTTTAGTTCCGTTCGATACTAAGACAAACCATTTCCCGTTTCTTTAATGTATAGCTACCGTCATTGTTTTATACTCCCGATGGTACAATGATACACAGCACAAATCGCATAAGACATAGCACACGATCATCAAGTCCAAAGGTCATGAACGACATCAGAACATGAACGAGCAGGTAATACAAAAGAATCAATGTTCATCGACAGCTATATCATACATCAAAAAAGCATCGCTTCTCTAACTACTAGCACACAACATATTGTGCTCAAGACAGCCCCATAGCCATGTGAGAGAAAGCCCACACGATAAGAACGCCGAACCCTGTTTTGGATTTTTTTTATGACAAAAAGAAAGAGAATTATTTGGTATAGGGGTGTGGCAGCGAGAGTATTAAAGTCCAGGCCGAATACCAGAGCGACTAGTGCTGATGGTTGTGACTGTGACTGTGGTCGTGGTCGTGATTGTGCTCGTGCGCGTGAGGACTAGATGCGCTGTGCGACGACTCACTGGCTCGTCTTGTCGACGAGGCCTTGGATGATGAATCGGCCGGACAACAACCCTGAGCTTGGCAGTCGTCGATACACTCGAGGAGGCAGCTATCCCCCTTAGTTAAATCGGCACCGCCATCGTAGGAAAGAGCTGCAGCATCGGCATCGTGAGAGTGCTTGGAGTCGAAACAGAACTCGGGCTGTATCGTAGCGCTGTGAATACCGAAACCGTGGAGGCACTTGCGGGCACGACGAGCCAGTTCCATATACTTCTCACCGCTATGAGAGTCGATAGGGAAGGAGACCTGGATGTGCATGCTTGCGACGAGCTTTGTGTCGGAGAGTTGCCAGACGTGGATGTGGTGGCATGTGATGACACCGGGGAGAGCCTCGATATCTTGTCGAATCTCGGGGACACTGATGTGCTCGGGAGTGGCCTGGAGAAGAACACGAGCGGTGCCGCGGGTAAGAGGAATACAAGTCTTGAGAATAATGGCAGTAATGAACAAGGAGACAGCAGGATCAGCGTATTCCTTGCCAGGCCAGTCGGTAAGCCAGATAATAAGAGCGGTAACCATGACACCAATGTTTCCAAGCATATCACCGATGACGTGGAGGATCATAGCGTTCATGCCCATATCGGCGTGGTTGTGACCGTGACTGTCCTTCTTGGTAGCATCCTTGGGGAGGGTGTGGTGGTGACCGTGGTGAACGCTAGAGTCTCGTCGGGGTCGTCGGGAGTGGGAGTGAGAGTGAGAGTGCGAACCGTTCTTGCTGTGACCAAGAGATGAGCCGTTCTTAGCGACACCCTTGAGAAGAGGGGACTCTTCATTGGCCTCGTCCTCTTCCATAATCAGAGAGTTCTCAGCGTCGGTCTCGCTCTCGCTAACCTCATTGGCATCGCCTCGGGTAGCTTCGATAATGCTCTGTCGGAAACTGGCTGGGTGAATGCTCAAGTCGTCGAGACTAGCGAAACGAGAGTGTCCACTCCTACTGGAACGATGATAGTCGCGGCCTCGTGAATGAGTGGAATGTCTGTTGGTGTCGCTAGATTTGCCGTTCTTACGGGAAGCGTTTGCGCGCTGGATAACACCTTCGGGCAGAACCTCAGCGGCGCGACCGGTTTCGTCAGCGAGAGAGCTGTGGTAGCCGGCGTGGCCCTCCTCGGCATCGTGGACGTGGTCGTGAGAATGTCCGTGATCATGATCATGGTCGTGGTCGTGTTCGCCAGGGCCGTGGGAGTGGCCGTGACCTCCAAGAACAAAGAAACCGACAAAGTTGGATAGAAGACCGGTTCCACCGACGATAAGCATGAGTTTGGGGTTGCTGATCTCCGGGGGCTCGATGAATCGGGTCAAGGCTTCGAGGATGATCGAGACGCTGAGAGCGATAAGGAAAACGGCGTTGAAGAAGGCACCTAGAATCTCGGCGCGAACCCACTGGAGGATGGTTAGTTATGCGATCGAATGGTGGAGGGCCTTGCGATTGGGTTTAGACATACGCCGAAGGTGAATTCGTCAGTGGAGGTCTTTTGCGCGGCAGATACAGCCCAGAGACCGATAACAAGGGAGATAATGTCGTTGAGCTATACAGAGTCAGTCGCTGTTCGTGGATCAATTCGCATCTGGCGATAGATGACTTACCATGTGAAAGGCATCAGCCATAAGAGCAAGAGAGTGGGCAAGGAAACCAGAGATGATCTCTACGAGGAAGAAGACCGTATCAATGGCGATCATGACCTTGATCCTGGTGCTCTTGGACCAAGCCATCTTCTGAAGAATACCCATGATGGAAAAACAGATGGCCGTAAGCCAGTAGCAAAAAAAGAATAGAAGAAAGAAAAAAGTGGTTGTTGTTGATGAAGATGGGAAAACGAAAACGAAGGAAAGGAAAAAAGCTGGAGGGGAAGGATGGGATGGGATATGGATGCGATTCTCTGGACTGAGCGGGCCCTCCCAAGGAGTTAGTTAGAGAAGATTTCGGGCGAGCAACCTCGACTCGGTATGAGCTAGTAGCTTTTTGGGTTAATTCCTTATGACGGAATGCGACAGGACCTGTGAGCAGTGGAGGCTGGATCCCTGCTGTGGAAGGGAGAGCCGAGAGGCTGAGGCAAGGGTCAGTTACGCAGATGTTTAGAGGGCTTTTATAACTCCGAGTTACACCAAGATAAGGGGAAAGGAATTGACTCAGACAAAGATGAGGAAAGAAAAAGAAGGGAGATTGTTCTGGATTGGATTGAATTGATCTAGATTGAATGAAAAATTCATGCCAAAGCGCTGATTAATTTCATTGAATGGTTCGTCAGTTAGTGGCAAACGTTAATAAACGTGCATGTACAGTACAGTGCAGGCAGTTCTTAAGGGCAGCAGATATCTTCAGGTGCAGCGGACAGCTAGACTAAGACATCATCAGCCCGGCTAGTTCCAATTAGGACAGCCGTTCTAGCCGTCCACCTTCTGTCAGTGGAGGCTTCTACCTACAGTCTGTACAGAGTATGGACATCTACTGAAAGCTATCGAACCACGGGTAATTAATTCGCTGGAAAAGAAAGTACATTTATTTGAAATTCTTTGAAACTACAGGGTCCTGATAGCAAGTCAATGTAACTCTCTATAGCTACTATCTGTCACTGTTTCTGTTCCGAAACATGGAACATGACAGGCCCTCGGTTCGGGGATATTTTAAGCAGAGTTCGCGAGGTAAAGAATCCGTTCTGCCGGTTCGGCAAGGGTCCATCGGTTGTCACTAGACAAGTCTAGAGGTCCGACTTCGGGAATAATAGCTCACCTATCTTCAGTCTAGTCAACTAGAGAAATACAGAGAGAAACCACCAAACTCTATTTTCGGTAGTTGTCACAGTTATTGATAGAAGACTACTTCTCTTCCAGTATAGCCTCGGGATTTGAGACTCTGATGTGACTGTATCATTAGAGTACCTAACTTAGCAGATCACATAATGATATTTATTGACGTTCATCTCTTTTCGTAAAAAGAACGAAATCTCTGTTCCCCATCCGAGCGTCTCTTCTCGGTGAGATCCATTACTTCGTGGGTCTCTTACCCTCAAAACCGTTCATACCGTAATTTAATAAACTGGACCTCGATCGGTCCGGTCTACCGTAATGGGAAATCCTCAAGGCTGGCCTCTTTCTATCATATCTGGTCGGACTTTTGCTCTCCTGAAGAACTCCCAGCCAGCCTCGATTGTTCAGCTTGCCTATCACTCTGACACATACCAATTATCGGCAAGGAATGCGTTCCTAGTGGTTGCGTGAACAGCCACAATATTGGCACTAAATGCATAGGTGAGAATCATTGCAGACTGCTCAGGGGATGCAGCTTGCCATCGAAACTCAAGATTGGGATTTTGCTTGAGTGAAAACACTAATTGATGGCTTTTGTCAACCAATCCTTGCATGCTTTAGAGACAAGTCTTTGTTCAAGTCTTTGTCAGAGCCTTGGCTTGTCTGTAGAAAGTCATATGTTGTCTCAGTCGCCTCACTTTAAGACTGTGTACGCACTCAAAGCAGAGAAACTTTTCTTTTGGCTACCACACTTGTATGCGCCAAGGGACGGGAAGTCGACTACGCCTTGCATCGTTGTCTGCAGCTCCCTTCAAGTGTTGTCTGATTCTACTTCACCCGGGAGTTTGTCATCGACTTGCAGTCGTAACGTTTCTATCCGAAATCAAGTTATTGTGACCCATACGAACCCATTGCTTACCATTGCTTGCACATACCCAAAATCCATTGTCTGTCTACCCATTGCTTCCCGCATACAATTCAATCGTTTGCTATGGTAGCGATGGAGTTGTCAGTTACTTCAGGCTGTTGCTATCTAAGACACAAACATTCCAATTGGTCAAACCGCATGATTGACAGAAACACTAAAGCTGCATTGCATCAAGATCATGATTATCTTAAACAGAGTTACTTGATAGGAAAAAGAATGATGTAGGGTAAACGCCAAGTTTTGTTTGATAGCCCAACCGGCGATAAATAGTTGGTGGAGCGAGTCAGTAATCTTTAGCGCCTTCAGCGGCCCGTACCCGCACCGGTGCCGCCCGTGCCTGCATTTCCACTCTGCATCTCAGTTGTAAGCGCGATTCGTGAAAGTTATCACATAAAACCTCTTCTTCATACAAGAGCACTTAAATAGGTGATAGAAATCGAGATGGAAGACTCTGCATTATCTGTGTACTGGAGGCCTTTGTCGTAAATTTGCTTCTGTTACGATGGACATGATATGATCCCACGCATTGAAACACAGCAGCTGCTGCGGTTTGCCGTCCCCTGGTACTTTGCCGCCCATCTTCATGCAATCTCCACCGTTTAGGCGCCATGGCATCCCAAATAGCGACACAGATGGTCTCATTTAGCTCAGTTGGTTGGCTCGCTGGAGGATCTGCTGTTCCTGTGACACCTGTTGCCTGTCTCGTAGAGTACAGAATCCATGAGTTGTTGGTCGTCGACTTCGTTATGGAGGCAGTGCGTTGTTTCAAAGACATTTTTAATCTCTTGCCTGCCCTCTAACTGTTGATGTATGTGAATCTTGTTATTTTATTTCCACTTGCATTATATTCAGACCTGTGCCGACTGCTCCTAAGTATACGAATCCGTCGTTTTTGGCATAAAGAAGATGGAGACCGCCGCCAGTATCATCGCTTTTATCGACGCCGCGGCAAAAATCACATCACTCATTATTGAAATCAAAGAATTATGGGGCGAAGCCAAAGCCCTCCCGGAGGATCTTCGAGATATGGTAGAGGAGCTCGATATACTTGCTCTTGATTTCGCAGAACTAAAAGAGCAGCTTGACTATGATCGAGAATTCCATCCCAGCATCAGCAACTCCTCTATAGATCGCAGCTTTATTGCCGCGAGGAAAGCCCAAATCATTCTGGATGACCTTGTTAAAGAGATACAGTCCGTGTTATACTCAAAAAAGGAAGGATTCCAGCGTACGATGAGCGCCTTCAAGTTTCTGTTGAAGAAGGGAAAACTTGAGGGTTGTCAAAAGAAACTCAAGCGGTCTATAGATTTACTTCATATTGCTATAAGTATCCGCCATATGTAAGTATCGTGCTGCCAGACACACGACAGTGAACTAATTATGGGAGGTCTACGACAAGGCAACAAGCAGAGACAATTACCAGCCGAGTAAGGAGTGATTTCCGACAACAACTCACAGATTTCCAGCCGGAATTCGTTTCCATGATCCAGACAGCGATGCGGAACGAACAGATACTTATCAAGAGCCAGAACGATATCCATAAGAAGGGCTCGGAGACTGAGAGAAAAGCAACAGTAACACAAAGAACACGACCATGGCTTACTTATACGAATGAGTCTAGATCCTGGCGAGCGCGGGTCCAGTTGCCAAGCTGGCTGTCACAAGCTGTTTATGATATCCAGTTCAACACAACTATGTATAGCTGGAGTTTCGCCTGCCAGTCTTATAACATAATCTCTCCAGAGTCAGATATTGTTCAGACAATCCAGAAGGGAGACAAGGATGGCGTATTGAAGCTTTTCGATACACGGATGGCATCTCCATTCGACAAAGACCACCGTGGATACTCGCTTCTCTATGTCAGTGAGATGACACTAAGCTTGATGCCTTCTTCTAACGCCCTCACAGTTCGCAGCGCAAAACAAACAATACGAAATATGTCAAGTTCTTCTCAAACTGGGACTCAAGGGGTCTCTTACGGAAGTAGTTGGTGAAGGACGAGAGTAAGTTCATACCTGACATTTGCCCAAGGACCATAGGACTAACTACAAGAATAGGAGTCCATTAAAACCACTCATATACCAGCCGAATCGACAATCGGTAGAAGAGGAATGGAATCGCATAGTTGAACTGTTCCAAGCATATCTTCAAGACGTTGACGAGGTGCCGGTTATCCGGCTCTTCGACTTCATCCACGAGTGGACATACATGGATGATTTCATGTTCATATTCAGGGAAAGGTTTATGCCAAAGTACTACCACTGGCCGATACGAGATCGTCTCGAGGCTGTTCGCCTTGGATCGTTCCATATCTTAACAGAAAATAGCTTCCCCCGTCTTCTTTCTAAGGACTCGGTCATCACGAGGTTGGACGTTTCTCAATCCAGTACCGAGAAGCTCTCACTTGTTCATTCATCAGCTATAGCTCTGGGGATTCGGTTTGCTGATGAAACTATTCCTTACAAGAGAGCTGAGTTCCAGTGGCGGGTCTATACTGAGTCATGGAGGGAACTCGTCACCCAGATTGCATCCGTGGCAGCGCCTGATGACCTTCATAGCGTTGAGCTCGTGAGCCCTTGGGATGTCCACCATGTTCCACATTGGCGAGGGACACCGCTAATTTCAGTTATCGGAGGAGTTTTGTGTTATCTTTCACCAGACGTTACTTTCGTCCATTGGGACAAGTCTTTCCAGGAAACTCTGCGTGAATGGCTGGAAGGACTACTAGAAGCGGGAGTAGACTTGGCTGAGTATGGCAAAGAAGAGCACAACCTTTTGCATGGAGGACTTAAAGGCGCTTTTGACGCAGATGCTATAGAGGCTTCTCGGACGATGACGAGAGAGACCTTGGCAAGGGCAGCATACGGCGCCAAGGTAAGCCAAAAGGCTGACGAGGGATGGAATGTCAATCATTGGGTCCCCATCCGAATTATAGATATAGCTACGGGACCAGAGATAGAGGATTGGAGAATATTTTGGGCCCCAGAGTTTGAGTACATGGCGCGTCAGTTTTGGGAGTTGGTTGAGACAGAGGAAGTAAAGAGCGTTATGCCTGGGTCATGGAATGAGAGTTATTAGCTTAGACTGAATCGAAGTACTCACCTATGCACGTGCTTGTGCAGCCACCTGTTGATACAATCTGTTGGTTCGTCAAACACCCATTTAGGAAACATTTACTGCTTGACAGATATTCATAGATTGCTGAAGAATGTTTTTATTTATGTCTTAGTGTTTTTCTTGCCGCGAAGTGACCTCCATAACGTTTGCGCTGTGTCCTACCCAAAAGCCAATCATGACTTTCTGTAAGGCGGGGAACTCGGACGTCTCACATGAACTTAAGAGGGGCATGTTGAGCTACGTAAGTCGTCATGTCATTTATACCTGCAGGTGCCTTCCCGAGGACTGAAGCTTAACTTCCATCTTCAATTTCGACAAGCTCACCGTTTCAAAAAGTTTGAACCGTACTCCTTCTTCATCTCAACCATATTCACAAACAGCATGGCCACACGTCCAGCAGAGAAGGCCGGTCACTGGTACAAAGCCAAGCCAACCGTGTTGAAGAATGAGCTTCAGAAATACCTGGCAGCAGTTCCTGATACTGTCGATGGAGCTCCTGTGCCCATTTCCGGTGCACGTGTAGTAATTGCGCCGTAAGTTGAGGCCCCTCAAAAGACCGAGTTGGGATGAACTAACAACACCGCAAAATAGCCATGCAGGATACGATTACTCTGGTCCCTGTGCAGCATGGGCATACAAGACTTTGGACCTGACCGGTGCTAAGCGTGTTTTTGTCCTGGGACCTTCTCATACATACTACCTTGAAGGATGCGCAACCTCAACATTTGGCAAATACGAAACTCCTTTCGGAGATCTGACGGTTGACCAAGATGTAGTCCAGCAGATTAAGGATGCTGCTGAGATGGAGGAGATGCCCACGCGAGGAGAGGTCAGCGAACATTCTCTCGAGATGCACATGCCGTACCTCTACCTTCGCTGTGAACAGACCTTTGGTACCCCGGACAAGTTTCCCAAGATCGTCCCGCTTCTCATTGGCAACAACAGCGGACCGGAGGAGAAGGCACATGGCAAGGTCCTGCTCCCATATCTCCAAGATCCCGAGAACGCCTTCGTTGTGAGCTCCGACTTCTGCCACTGGGGTAAGAACTTCAGTTACCAGGTATACTCGCCCACGAACAAACCCTCAGATCTCAAAAAGTTGCGCTCTACCGATGCAGCACCAAAAGGCCCGCCGATCCATGAGACAATTCGTGTCATCGACGAAGCTGCCATGGACGCCGTCAAGAGCGGTGTTCATGATAGCTTCCTTGCGACGCTGAAAGAGACTCGCAACACAGTATGTGGGCGACACCCAATTGGAGTCATAATGGCGGCTCTAGAGTTATGGCGTAAATATTCCCAGGATAAGGAAAAGGGATACTTTAGTGTCATTAAGTATGACCGCAGTAACTTGGTGGAGGAGCCTCAGGACATGAGCGTGAGTTACGTGTCCGCATATGCTGTGCTTTGAGTTTGAAGCATAAACGAGTGGTTGTTTAGCAGGAGTATAATTGTTGGTTTTGGAACTTTGGGAGACTAGAGAGATTGTTGGAGCTGAACTTTTGGAGTTTGATTGGAGCTGAAAGAGTCTCGAGTTATGGAGATGGAATAGTAGTTATGGATGGACAAGTCGCACACAGCTGTACCGTTTATCCGCTCCTGTTCGAATTGGTAGACAATACGAGAAATCTAGATTATTAGCTGTCAAACTAGTATTTTCGGAATTAACCTAAGCAGAATGGTAGAGTCCATTGGGAACGGAGTTAGTGGAGTGTCAGCCTGTGATGCGTTGTAAGTTTCTGCGGCCGAGATGTAAGACGGCTGAACGGCTTCAATGAGGAGGATGCGTCCCGCCTTTGTGTATTATGTACGAACGGATATCCGTACTGTATGTAAGACGAACGGTGGAGCATAGCCAAGATCCCAGAAGACGGAAGATTATGAGAGGCACTGGCCATGGACTATGATGGTGCTTAGACCGTTTGGGTCAGTACGGTAGAAAATGGCATAGACAAACATTCACATGATCGTCAATATCTAAAAGTGAACAAATTGGATTCTCAGTTGGTTTCCGAAAATACCACAAATAGCTTCTTTCTCCCTCTTGGCAATGTCGCTACGAGCCACTTCAAGCCCCACGCGGCGAAGCTTAACTTGATTGTTCGAGACCCCCCTGGTCAATTTGAAATGGGTGGACGCCATTTTCTGAGCTGAGGCTCAGTCAGCCTAAGAGATCCTTAGATCCTTTAGACTCAATTCAATTGAAGACGGAAACGATCCATTCGATTGAATCAGAGTTTGAATCCTTGGCGATAATGACGGATGGCGCCGAAGATGCTGATCATAGGATATAAAACACCAGACTTGTTACAGATTTTCGCTGCTCACACTTTTGAGGATCCAGGGATAATTAGAAAACAGCCGCTCAGATGTGAAACAGTGGAGAGGGAGTCGCCAATGAAGAGACACAAGTTGTTATTTAGGGAGCGACCCCTTGTTCAGGAGACACCAACAAAATAAGTCGAGCATAATGAGTGTCACTATACCGCTAGAGATGTAGGGATGGAATATGTCTGCATGTCACACTCTATACCACATTCAAGTTAACCTCATTTATAGCCCCGGTCACTACTGCAGGTCTCTTTTTCTTGAAATCCAATTGAATGTCTCGTGTCGCATGATGGACCAGACTTGTTCTCTTCAAGTGTTTCTGGCTGTTGCATCTCTGGTTTTGTCCACATCGCCTATGTTTTAGTAAGAGGCCACAATGACGAACAAGAAATCTCTTACGTAGGTAAAGCCCTCGACTGGAATCGGATTTACATCCTTGGTAACAGTCGATTGGACCCTGCATAGGGGGTATCCTACGGAGTAAGCAAGGTGCGTGCTGCTAAGAGTAATGTTCTAGCCCGCTAATGGCAGTGAGCGGCGTCCCACCAAGCACAAGCGCCCTTAACGACCTGACTTTTAGCTAAGGTACCGCCTGGGCTTACCCTTACTGTACACCCCCAGATAGAAATGGACCCGCTAATTACTCAGTGGCTAAGTGCTATGCTATGCTTCCCCCAGGCAGGGCTGCTTGCTCACTCTCACTGCCACTTCTGCTGCAACCTTGAATGCACCAATCTCGCACTCGCGCTCGCTCTCTCTCCATTCCTGCTGGGCTCTTCCTTGCAAACTCTCCATCACGTCTCATTTCCAAAGATCTTTTATTATTTTTTCCCTTCCTCTTTAAACTTAACCTTTTCCTCTCTCCTACTTTCACTTTTTACCTCCCTCTCTCATTTGCCGTCTTTTTTCCTTTTGCACTAGAAAGAGGAATTACCAGGCCCTCGTGTTTCTCTTTGATTGTTCTTACTATCCCTACTACTCCTTTCTCCTTGCTGCGCGACGAGAACCACTCACTTTAATATCCTAACACGGACACGGTACGGAACAATTTCAGAAGAAAAGATACGACAGCAATCAATTGCTCGAAACCGACGACCCTCGATTAAAACAGGGTGAATTTTATACAAAGAATCGCATTATACAGCCGTTAGAGCTACAGCTCTGTCGCTACAATGAGTGTTAGTTTGCGCCTCCTTTCCAACCCTCGTATTCTGTTTTGATGTGAACTCGTTCTCTGGACGTTACACAATGAGCGCAAAAGAGCTTGTTTCTGCATCAAAATACATGCGAGGTCATACCTATTATTTTTGTTCAGTTTACTAACATTTCGCAGTACGGGTATGTTCCAGCTTCAATCGCGCGGCTCTCGACAAAACCACTAACTTACGTCGCAGATACGGTGCACAAAATCCCTACGACGCCCCTGATCAGGGCTACGGTGGCAACAACGGTTATGGCAATGGAGGCGGCTACAACAGCCCACAAGCTCAGGGCTATGGTGGTGAGACTTCCCGACTTTGTTTATCTGCCTCCTCCACCACATACTGACATGACTTGAGGGATAGGTAGCGTTGAAATGGAGCCCCTTGCTCAGAACGGCAGCTCTTTCGGCCATGGCAACCCCAACGCTATTCTTAACGAGTGCCGTGATATCGACCGCGGAATCGACACCGTCGAGCAGAACCTCGAGCAGCTTCGTATGATCCAGCAGCGAACCCTCGACGATGCCGACAGCTCAGGATCCAGCGCCGCCAACCGTCAGCTCGACTCGCTTTCCGCTGACACCATGTCGCTCTACCGTGAGCTCACCGAGCGAGTCCGCACCATCAAGTCCAGCCCTGAGGCCAGCTCTGCCAAGAACAACCCTCATGTCACCCGTATTGATCGCCGTCTCAAGGCCGCCATTACCCAGTACCAGCAGGTTGAGTCCCAATTCCGAAAGCGAACCCAGGACCAGATGGCTCGTCAGTACCGTATTGTTCGCCCCGATGCTTCTGAGCAGGAGATTCAGGCTGCTGTTGAGGACACAACCGGTGGTCAGGTTTTCAGCCAGGCTATGATGCAGAGTGACCGCCAGGGCCGCGCCCGCGCTGCCCTGAGCGCCGTTCAGGACCGTCACCAGGCTCTTCAGAAGATTGAGCAGCAGATGGTCGAGCTCGCACAGCTTTTCCAGGACATGGACACTCTCGTTGTTCAGCAGGAGGCCGCTGTCACTCAGATTGAGCAGAAGGGTGAGGAGGTTGTCGAGAACCTGGATAAGGGTAACCAGGAGATTGGTGTAGCTGTCAACACTGCCCGCAAGACACGCAAGAAGAAGTGGATTTGCCTGGGTATCTGTGGTATGTATTCCCGGCTCGAAGTTGCTATTCAACAATTTGCTAACTTGGAAACTCAGTGGCCATCATCGTCGTCATCGTCATCATCGTTCTCATCTACATCTTTGTTATCAGACAGAACAACAACAACGGCGGCAACAACAACAACAACAACGCTAAACGAGCCATTGAGGCCGCCTCAGACGCTATCATGCATACAGCTGTCATGCCTTCTCTATCTCGCCGCGTTGCTGCCGACAGCGAAGCGGCTTCGCTCATCAAGAGCGTCGCAGGAAGAATTCACATGCCTCAGCTACCGCGAAACTAATCGTTGGACGGTGAAGAGTGAAGTTTACGGCATTCAAATCTTGTATCTCGGGGTATATATAACCGACGACGAGATTCGAATTGGAGGGAATTAAAAGCAGTATCAGGCTGTGTTTGTTTTGTCTTTTTGCGTATTCCCATTGGATTATAACTGCTGCTATAGCCCGATAGCGCCTGTCTGATTTCTTTTTGTTGATACAACCGGGCTTGAATCTGCCGCTGTCTGGGCTTGGTTTTTCCTTTACTACTTGCATTTGCTAGGGGCGTTCATAGTATGAGCTTTTAATCACATTTCTTATTCTTACCTGCTGTGTGCGCTTTTGACGATACGTATCTTAATGTTAAAGAGTTGAGTGTAATAATTCATGCAAATAATGCCACAATCGGAAGGTCTAGTACGACCCGCAAACCTATCAAACATATTCCATACGCCAAGCTGTAACTCTGAATACCCAAGGTGTCTGGTCCACCTGAAACTGATAATCCACAATGCATACTGAGCGTGATATCGGTGCTTCAGTTTTATCGAATTTCCATCTGGTGATATGTTAGTATCAGTATCGGATAACTTCGGATGAATAACTTACCAGGCTGTGCCGATGGTACGTCTCATCCAAGTCTTGCGACAATTGTCAAAGGCGGTTCAAAGTCTCCAGTGTTATCATCAATCATCCTCCGCCTTTGCTTTTCCCTTCCCTTTGTCTTCTTCAGAGTCAATCACCGCTTCATCCGGCGCAACTCCATCGTCTACGATGGGCTGAGTCTCTTCCTGTTGTCCCATCGCCGCACGTCTCCTCTCACCCTCATCAACAACCTTCTTCAGCACCCCCATCCGTCTTTTGAAATCCTCTGCCAGCACATCAACATCTTCACCTCCTATAGCGCCACTTCCAGACCCAGGTAATGAGTCAGGTCTCGCCTCAACGGGTTCGCGCTCAACGCCTTCAACGCGCAGCATCGCGCCGCCGGTCTCATCGCCTTCGCTTTGTTGCACTGCGATACTGGATTCTGTTACCGCAAAGTCGGGTGTTAAGCTGGACGCCCAGGATACAGCCCAGCGACTAGCTGAACCTTCGGGGGCGGGCGCGAGGTCGACTACAAGCGCGCGCTGCGATGGATCTTGCACGGGCGTGGAAAGAATAGAGTGGTCATCGTCCGAGAATAGGTAGTGAATGCGCGGGTGAACAGTAGTATTCGTAGTCGAATTCGTCAAAAGCGTAAATAACGGTTCGAAAGACGGCATATCAGGTTCAACCTTTTCGACAGAAGGTGAAGGTCCGACGTCGGACTCCGGAGGAGACGGATCTCTATCGGTGGTTGACATTTTGGCAAGATGAGCTTCTAAGATGGAAAGGATAAAAAGACCGAGCTAGAAGCATCTTTACTCGTAGTTCGATCTTGTTGACTGAGATGTTGAGCTGTGAAGTTGTAGGACAAGTCCATGGGATGACGGAAGGAGCTCAGCTTATCTTATCGGCACGTGGATACTACAGCGTGTAAGTCCTAGCACGAGACGGGGAAATTCAGTCCTCTTACGAGGTTTTAATCATTGTCACCCTGGAAATACAATTCCTAGACAAGATGAAAGATGAGACTCGCGTATCTTTGAATCTTGATGCCCTCGTAAATAGAGTCTGACCGTTATTTGAGCGTATTTGTTTGTGGCTAAACGTTGTAAAGGTTAACTTGAGCTGCATGAGAGTATCGTGACTTAGCATGTGACTGGACCAGCCACTTGGAAATGTCTACAGCAAAGTCTACTAACGCGAGAGGCACATACTTGACTCAGATCTTTATGCAGGTCAGAATGGATTATCCAGTTATCTGAAGCTATATATCTAGGGCGTTATCTCATTCCATGACATGTTGTCTCATGACATGAGTTGAACTTGGACATTCTGATATGTAATGACTTGTACAGAAATAATTCATCATCAGCCTGACCCTGAAATTTGGATAAAGATTCCGTTTTTCGATACACCGCGGTTTAAGTTGTCTGCATCTTCATGCACTCTGACGTCTATCATCACCCATGACTTGTCGCTTATTGCCCAATATGGTTCTGGCTCCCTGCAGCCTGACTTGTTCAACACCCTTCAACAAAATCTATATCTCATTTGACTCAACAGTCACATAATCACCTTTGTTCTTCCCACGGATAACAAGACTAATCTGGTATACCGACGAGTCGTGCGCCGCAAAGAGAGGGTCACTGTGCATTAACCATCCAGACGAGCTTATAGTGAAAAAAAAAATGAGTTGGGCAGAGTCAGAGTTGGGCATCCAGAGCCCTCATCCAATCCAGCTGTCCAAGTTAACGCCGGCCCCGTCTATTGTGTCTATGTGTATTTCCGTGATGGCTATATCCTTGCCTCTATTTTTGGGTCTTCCCAGAAGACCTTCCTTTTTCCGTACCATAACCTTCATTCCCATAATATCGTGACAAAGGAGATTTATACAAAAACAGTAACACCGCGCCAGAAGATACCCGCTCTCAAGGTTTTGAAACGCCGTGTCGCTAACGTCCAGCATGCAAAAAGAAGATTGTAATCAAACAAGAAGCGGTAAGATTTCAAGAGGAAGACGAGTGTAGGGCACGGAAACCAGCCGCAACCAAACTTCTCGACTTGTCCTTAGAATCTGCGGGACCGTTCCAGTAAAAGAGACCCTAAAGCCGCTGTTAGCGATCCATTATAAATGTCAGACGGAATAATGTAGGTCTTGTGCTATGACACAGCCTTCATCATCCACAATTCGGTTACTTACCCCTAGTCCCTTTTGCTTGCAGAAACCCGCCTTCATCTTGACGGTGTCGGGGTTGTCGTACGTCACAAAGCCACCATCTGCTCCCGTGCAGTGTGCTGCCACATGGCGTTTGTCGACGACTTCCTTGCAACCCTTGCGTGGGAGCTGGTTGTACTCGAAAGTACCATCCTCAGCACCTCCAATGCCTTTGTACTTGTGTCCTGCTCCTGAACAGTGGAGAAAGCTTCGTCCGAATGTCGGAATACCAAGAAGAATCTTCTTCGGTGGGAATCCCTTAGACATGAGATAAGAAACCCCTGAAGAGGCTGAGGTCTCTTCCTTGTCCATCGCGTAAAGCTGTGCATGGTGTCCAGCCTTGGGGGTCCACGAGCCGAAGAAGTCGTAAGCCATCAGGTTGATGAAATCCAGGTATTCGGCAATCTCCATTAAATCGAGAAACTGCAAGACAGCCTTGGCTGCAGGAAGTGCAGCGGTGAGGACATAGTGCTCCTCGGGAAGATGAATTCGGACGGCTGCCAGCAGCGCCAAAAAGTCATAGCCTTGTTGCGCATCACAAGGGTATTCCCATGCAACTATTCAGAAAGTCAGGTTCCTGTGTAGATTTGGACAGACTGAGACAATGTTCCAGACAACTTACTGTCGATTCCATCCAGGCCAGAAGCTTCAACAAGGCCCTTGGCTGATCGAGCAAAGTTGTCTCGCAGAAGGGTGCTCGAAGCCACGGTGGGAAAGATTTCTGAAGAGTTTCCACCACCAATTGACAAGACAACTCGAAGATGAGGATGCTTTTGCTTGAGGTGCATCAGAGATCCCAAGCCACCTTGAACACCATCAACAGGCGCACCAGCATCCGCCCACTCATCACTCAACTAAACGAGTCAGTAACCTCCACTACGAAGAGTTGAGAGAAAAACTTACGAAAACACCACCATCTGCTGAAACACTGGCGTAGGCGTAATAGACATGGTTGATGCAACTGTAGTTGAGCATTCCTGGCGTATCTCCCTGGTATATCCGGTAGTTGGGGAAGTATACAGCATTTGTGAACATGACATCGGACAAGTTCGAGGCCATCTTGGACTTCCTTGAGGAGCTCATGATGAGTGATGTGAAATATTAAGGAAAGATGAAGAGAATTCTAACGCAAGCGTCGAAAGAATATATGAGAAAAGGAATATTGACCGAATATATGACTTCAATGTGTGTGTCCTGCAAGAACCTGCATAAACCCGTGGTCAAGATCTTCGAGGTGGTCTTAAACTGGTGTGTCGGTCAACAACGTTAGGCACCAAAGACTTGCTGATGAGACTCATGATTGCGAAAGAGAAGGATCCAGACTATATAACTCTCAACACCACACCAACGCAGCCAGCTAATAGAGCGAGGGTCATCTAGTTGATGCCAGGTGAGCAGGGACTAGCCTCCAAATTACGGAGGGTCCTGGATTCGGTCGGTATTACCATGATACATGACATAATTGCGGGGAGGTATGAGAAGAAACACAAACGCGCTTGCGTTTGTTAGAGCTGAGAAGCAGAGGCTTCTTGGGAGACCGTGAAAGGCACTTGTCCTGTCGGATCGCGTCGCTACTTAGTATTAGCCTGCCTTTTTTGATGCTTGGACCACGCCTATTCGGGCCTTGTCGAGAAGGTCAAATATGTAGCCCATGAAATGACGGTTGGTGTCCTTGGCGGCCCAGCCTTGAAATGGAGTCGGAGATCCGGGGCGAGAACGCTATTTCCCCTTCTAATAGAGTCCGTGTAAGAGGACCCTGAGTTGTTGGGAGATGGTTCTTAGTAGAATGAACTGACCGTCGCTACTGAGGCAAAGCGGTGATGTTGAAGCATTGACGGGGCGGCCTTCCCGAATCATCCAACAACCCTGCTATGATGCGCAAAGATGAAACACTTTGACATACAGGCCTGCAAATGAGGTGCATTTTCAATACCTAAAAACAGTAAAGACCGTTGTCACGTTCCGAGCATGAACCATGAGCCTCGGTGCAAACCGAAGCGGCATATGTCTTCGGCCCATCGCATGCCAATTTCTGTTTTCACCGGCATTGTTTACCAGTATTGTATGAACAGGGCTCGGATTCAATTCGGCACCTCAGAATCAGGGCGAGTCATCCGCGTAAGAAGCTGTATGGTTCAAGGGATGAAACAGTCTCAGCCAGATGGGACAAGCTTAGCAGCATTGTTCTTGATGTCACAACGTCTGGATTTAGTATCAGGATGATCCAGGTACAGTTCAGAGGGCAGTACAGCACAGCACGGCATCCCCATCTTTGGATGAGGGTGGTACCAGAAACGCCGAGTCAGAGCACAGCTTCTCGATAAGCAGTCAAACAACCGTGCGGCTCCATGGATTCGTCCTGCCATCAAACTTCTGGAAGGTTTGGAACGCGCTACGGCGAATGGTGAGATTAGTTCCATAATTAAACACCGCCAGGGATGATGAAATTTGGGCGCAATCTTCAGTGGACCAAGTGCTATGTTTGATGTTCGGCATGAGCCGGGACCATGTAAACAAATAGCCACTCATTTGTTTCCCAAAGCTCTAGAACTTTTCTGTATGATTTATTGTATAGAGCCTGGTTTGAAATCGGAGGCCCGTGGTAAGGAGCAGTTCTTTGCTGCAAGCTAATGATTGATCCTTTGGAGACCGAGACTAGCAAGTCGCTCCGCCTTAACGGGTGAGAGTTGGGCTGCTTTCAATCAGACTCATAAGTTACTGAACACTTGAATATAGCAACAGGTTGAACTCGGCACCATGTCAGAGCTCAAGTACCTGGTTGTAGCTGATTGCTTGTCCTAGTTCCCGGCATAGATCCCGTCAAACTTTCATACTCCTTCGCCTCAGCTTCGCCTCAGATAAATCTGTACCTGCAATGGCCAGGTTTGTCAACATTGTGTGTAAAGTATTGCGACATCATGCAAATATGCAATATCTTGAAACCGTGGTCAGATAACTTTGCGCAAAGCCACAGAGCTACAGCAAGACATGTATCTGACTGTATGAGTCGGAAATAAAGCCAAGAACCGGAAGAGGGTTTATTTATCCCCGCTTAGCTGCATCGACGTGTCTCGCATACCTTCTGGTTAGTATGTTGGATGATACCCGAAAGACAATACCCGGTAACCGTGTAGGTTAGTGACGCGGAGGCGGAAATGTTTGTTGGTTCTGCGTGTGAGACGCAGTGGTCAGCAAATTGGCGGCAGACGGCTGGAAATCCTGCAGGGCTCCTTGTTGCATAGGCAAGGCTACCTCGATCAGAAGGAAGCGGAAAGAGACGTACCACCATGCAGAATCCTTGTTGATCCAGCCTGTACTAGGTTTGACATCTGTCAAACAATCGTGTTCATGTTTACTTCTCTCGTGAAGCTGAAATGGCAGGGCGACAACCAACAGTTTCCACCAACACCTTCCAAGCTTGGTTGGTGGCATACCTGTCGTGTTAAGGTGAATTCACGTCTGTCTCAGCTTCGACTCTATTGAGGGGGGTTTTTGGTCTTGTTCGGCAGGGCTAGGCGGATCAGATCCATGGGAAGCAAACAAACATCCAGTACACAGTACCCCCCAACTCGGAGACTGGACCAACAGTCGAATCGCAGACTGCCTTTATGCGCCATCCGCATATCTTATCACCAACGACTCGCACAGCTATGTAGGCAGCTGAGAGACATACCGCAGTATGAGTTGATCTCACCAATACCAAGAGGTCAAAGCCTTTGTCAGAGGAGGGGGTTTTCATCGTGGTAGCAAACGTGCAGTATCCCCATGACCTCTTGCATTATGTCCTCGAGTAAGAAATGTCCATGCCTTGTGTACTTTATCGGTTTCACAGGGACGATCATTGTGGCGCACCAAAGCCAAGCATCCCAACACAATGATAAAGTGTATTGAATCCGTCTTCTGCGTACCTCGAGTAATTCTGTTCTCGACTTGTAACCCACTGAACAACGAGCAAGATGCAAGACAGTGATAGCCACTCCTTCTCTCTGATCTCCGAGCCAGGGATCGAGACGATATGCACACCGACGGAGCAAGATACCGACGAGTATGACTTCGTTTTTGAAGACGGCAGATCTGTGTGCTTACAACAAGAGGATGATTCGAGTTGTTGCACTTCGTTGGCGCCCAGCATGTTGGATTATGAACATTCCCATGGGAGACGTTACCACGCTTATCTGAGTGGGAGATATCCATTACCGAATGACAAAGGCGAGCAGTATCGCGAGCTAAACGACCATCTTTTGATGCAACAACTTTTCGTGCGTTCGAGTTGTGAACGAAGTGCGACTTGTACTAAGTGCTCATTTGTAGGATGGCGAACTCTTCTTGTCCGATATTGGTGATAGACCGAAAAGGATAATCGACATCGGCACAGGAACCGGTAAGTGCGCCGACAGTTGGCAAATGCTGTACTAACAACTTGTAGGAATTTGGGCCGTGGATGGTAAATATTTGACTGTGAACAATTAGGAGGTCTTTGCTAATGACTGCCCAGTGGCCGACTTATACCCAGACGCGGAGGTAATTGGCACGGATCTATCGCCAACTCAACCCAAATCGATGCCGCCAAATGCAAGCATGTTTGTTGAAGACTGCGAAGACCCGTATTGGGCGAATGGCGACAACTTCGATCTGGTCCACTTCAGGGGAATGGCCGGGTTCCTTCTTGACCTGAATGCTATGGTAGCTAATGCTCATGAGTAAGTGACCATGTTCAAGGGAGGGATTCCTCTAACAAGCGAAGACACATGAGAGACGGCGGTTGGATCGAGTTCCAAGACTTCGATTACACAATTTGTTGTGACGACGGCACCATGAAGAAGGACGACCCGTTGAGAGTATTTTTCGATACCTGCGCCAGAGGAATGCGAAAGTACGGGTGTACCAACTATGGCAAGAGTAACGTTCGAAAGGCTTTCATATTTGCTGGCTTCACCAAAGTTCACGTGGTAAATACGAAAGTGCCCATCTCCCGCTGGGCCAAGGATGAAGGATTAAAGGACATTGGTACACTGATGGCAGCCAATCTCATCGATCTTATCGGGGCCATGGCTGTCAAGCCGTTGATTGCCTTGGGTATACCGGCCGATGAGAGGAAAGAGATGGTTGCCCAGGCTTGTCAGAGCCTCAAGAACGGGAAAGCTCATCGATACATCAACTGCCGCTTCGTATTTGCCAAGAAGATTGGAGGCGAAGCTTGTGAGGTCGACTCTGATGCAGAGTCTTGTGTATGAAGTCTTGGGCAGGAATCGTTTGAGGAGATCAAATTGTTCTTCATTGCGGAGGTGTTTGTTTTCATACGGAAGGCACAGAGTGAAAGAGGCGCATACGATAATGGCAAGAGCATCTGACCTATCGTAGGGTAGGAGCTGGCTTTCGCGGGAAGGAGCTAGAGCAGCAGATTGAGCGACACTTTCTCATATCCATATTTTCAAGTTCAGAAATGATAACGAATATCAAAAATAAATATTCATAAACAAACAAAAAGAAGCTCTTAAATAATCCTGAAACCAAGCTCATGTGGAGTGACGTTGGTGGTTTAGTGGTTGATCCTAGTCGCTGACAAACCTTAGCTGCGCTGCACTAAGATGTCGCCTGCAGCTTGAATTTGTTAGCTCACCTAGCTTTGACGTTGATCTTAACCTCAACATAACAATTACACCACGCGCCAAGCAGCATCAACAGCAACTCCACGACATACTATCGAAATCGCATCAGTCGCCTTAAAACGCCTGCATATTTTCATCTTTGACAACAGGCGTCGGCCTGCGCCAGTTCATCATGCCTGCCGCCGTCGAATCTCCCGCCTCTGCCATCCTCAATCACTCCGCGACACCCTACAACTTCCGCTTCTCACCCTTCCTCCGACAAACATACCAAGTCGGCCTTTCTCCCGATCGCCCAGTATGCAAAGCTTTCCAGTCCGGCCACTGCCCAAACGGCACGCGATGTCCTGAGCGACACGTCTCCGACTCCAAAACGTCGCAACCGACCGGCGGTCTCAATTCACTCGTCTGCAAGCATTGGCTACGTGGATTGTGCAAGAAGGGCGAGCACTGCGAATTTCTCCACGAGTACAACCTACGAAAGATGCCCGAGTGTAATTTCTTCATGCGTAACGGATATTGCTCTAATGGTGATGAATGTCTGTACCTCCACATCGATCCTCAAAGTCGATTGCCGCCTTGTCCTCACTACGATATGGGCTTCTGTCCGCTTGGACCCAACTGTTCGAAAAAGCACGTGCGTAAGAAGCTCTGTGTCTTTTATCTGGCTGGTTTCTGCCCTGATGGACCGGACTGCAAAGAGGGCGCACATCCCAAGTGGTCAAAGGATCTGGAGAAGCCAACCCTCAAGTCGGAAGAAAAGAAGGAAGAGGAGATGCGAATGGACTTTGCGCAGGATGATATGGATAGATCGCGCGACCAGCCAAGAGATAGAGATCGGGATGATGGAGGAAGACATCGGGGAGGCCATGGTGGCCACGGAGGCAGAGGCAAATGGAGAGGAAGAGGCCGATTCCGTGGAAGAGGTCATTAAGTTATGTTGCACGCGTGTTATAGATTCATTCGGACGATGATACCCACATAGCTATTTGGGCATCCCAGGCGCATTCATCAAATGTCAAAAGAAGGACTAATCAAAACAATTGGATCTGTATTTTTCCAAACAGCCATAACATAAATCATCAAGAGTTGGAGTCGTGACGGCGTCTATATGTAACAATATCGAACCTTTTTACGTATCCCATCATAAATGCGTATCATGCGGACCCAATGTACATGGCACGGTCAGCATGAATTCTGGAGTCATCTAGGGTTGTTCAGGTGCCTTTTGACCCCAAACAGCCCCGGTGTCTGCGTGCCAAACGTTGTCGTCTGAAACAGCGATGAACTCGCTGGATGCACCCTCATCACCCTTCTCACTCTCATCGTCCTCGTCCTCGCTGCTTTCTGAGCCCTCGAAGGCGTTTGTCTTCCATGTGGAAAGCTCGTCAACTCGACGGATGCCCATCATCCAGGAAACAAGACCGCGAGGAGCCCATCGGCCAACGAAGCCATACACACTAGCTCCGAGACCGACTCGGACAGTGTCAGCAGTGATATCACCATCGATAACATCAAAGACAGAGTTGTGCAGACGGCGAAGCGAGCTTCCCTTGAGTCCGCGAATACGGCCTCCAGAAATAGCAGAGCTGGTCTGAGCAACAAAGTTTCGAGCATAGACATGTCGAGCACCCTCAGGCCAGACGAGAGGCGATTCAGGGTTTCCTGCGGGCATAACAAGACCTTGGTTAGGTCCGCCTCGGGTAGGGACGAAGCTAGAGAAGTCGAAGGTGCCAAGTTGCATGTGGGTCACCGGGATGTCGAGGGGTCTAAGTTCGGCGGTGAGGACTTCGGTAAAAGCGGACAAGGCCGAACACACGGTCGCCTCAGGTGCGTGGAACGGCGGGTTGATTGACGAGATGATGGAAGGGGTAAAGACCAGGACCTTGGGGGGAATCCATTTTTCTCCAATGGGGTTCAAGCGGGATGTGAGTAGTGGGAGGAACGCTTGGATCGTGAGGATAGGCTGGAGAAGGTGGGTATTGAAGAGGTCGGCAAAGTTTGAAGGAGGGATTGTCGCGATGGGAGATGTTTGGTAGTGAAGGCTCGGGATCAGGATAACGGATTTAAGAGTGAGCTGATTGGGCTTCATTCCAGGTCCTGGAGCTTGAGGTGATTGAAGATAATGAGCAAAGTGCTCAATGGCAGAGCCAGCATGGGGAGGCTGGGAAAGTCAGTATAATCCAGATATGACTTTTGAGACAAACTTACGTCAGTGGTATCAATGCTCAGAGGTCGGATATCAGGTCGCTTCATAGCCTGAACCATACCTTCGTCTTCAGCAGCATTGCAGACGATGAAGACGATAAATCCTCGTCTCTCCATATCCAAAGACAAGGATCTCGTCAAGGGAAGAGTGGGAGAACCAGCAATAACGACGACATCAGTACGGCCGCCATTTCTCGCTCTTCTCGCACGTCTTGTCTTTCGCATGGAACGGCCCTCATAGTATCCCTTGTAAACGACGGTACCGCAGGTAAGGATGATAGCGCCGGTCAAAATTTTGTGCTCCGCAATCCAGTTCTGCAGTCTCTCAAAACGAGACAGAGATACTATAGCTACCACTTCCTGCACAGGAGGCTTGGGCCTCACAGACTCTGGGACCCATTCCGACGTGGATAGGGTTTCTCTGACGACTACAGCGGCGCGGTCGACATTCTTATCGATGAACTCGGAGGCAATGTCGGTATACCGGCGGGCCTGGGTCGAGAGCTATAGGATAGAATAGTAAGCATAGTGCCCTGGGGAAGATAGAGCTGTGGTACCTACCTGATCCAACAGCTGCTGAGGATCTATCGACATGATGGTGGTTTGGTGAGAGAGAGAAGATTGCTACTCGAGGCTCTGCTCATATGACGGCGACCTTCATGCGGTGGAGAACTCCAAAAGCTTCTGATACCCAACCTCGTTAATGTGAATGTGAATCTTTGACGCACGGACCATCCGATCTCCGCGCCGGAACTCGGGTTTTGGTACTCCGATGGTCTACCCGAGGTCGGGTATCTAGACGAGCAGACGAGCAAGGAAGTATTACTTACAGTTGCAGACTCCAGGGGTTGAGTTTTAGAAGTGAACAATTGATTTATTAATTTATCTTGCTGAGATTAAGGAGTTGGTTATCTGAAGCTTGACAAGGTTCATTGGTCTAAGCAGGTAGTGAAGCATGGCTGTTAAAGCACTAGGCTTTATACTGCATATCAGACAATCTAGGTACTGCCTTTAAAGTCCTATTATAGAAAAGAGAACGTAGCTAATGCTTGAGCCAAGATGAGATCTTCGATCAGGTTTTGCGGTGAAAGTGGATAATACCTAACAAAAAACTCCATTCGTTGGACCATAAGTGACTCCATTGTCTTGTTGTCCAGTATGAGTTGTTGATTCCTCCAAGGAAAATCGTGCCAGAATGCTACCCTCTTTAAAAACGTGGTCCAATATGAGCCCTTCATATATTGGTGGATTTAATCGACAGCTCACCATTACCTTTACATAGACACATGTGAAGGAGTTGGTCCCTACCAACAGACGCACATAAACTGAACACAACTCAGCAGTGATGCATTGACAATTAGTTCTTCTTTTCAACATAGATCTCAGTTGGTCAACTATCCGTGCTTGGGCATCAAGCACGAGCTTCATATCCGGATGCAAAGAGTTGCAGTAGTTGGCTCCACACTCCACAATGGAAGTCTCGGAAGTATATTTCCTATCAACTCATGCAAGACGGATTAACCCTACCGGCTTGATGATTATGGAGTTGATAGAGCCAGAAAATTCAGCTTCTATGGCGTGCTCCAAAGTGCTGCGCCGTTCTCAGATTCAGCTTGTCAAGAGGTACAGCTAGCTATCTATCTTTGGAGGTAACAGACAGAAACTGAGGACCCAAGATCAGGATCTAGGTACATAATGCTAGCCTAAGATCTAGGCTAAGTTAGCATCAACGGCATAAAGATTTCGTTACTTATGCTAATAATATCAACTCCTCTGCTATTTCTAGCAAGACTGGAGTGACTGCCCTTTGTGTTTCTATCTTAATGGATGGCTATCATCGCCCACTAATTCCCCAGGCTAGGAAACGGCGGGAGCGGAGCATGCGGGGTCTAACCGGCTATCAGAAGACCCACCTCCCCGAGTCTCATTCAACTGTACTACCATTATCGTGAGAGACATATTGTGAACGTCTTCCATAATTCTTTATTAAGTAACGATGCTGTATGCTGAAGATCCTTTTCCCGAACCCTCTACTCCTCCGGAACCCTCTCGGATCGGCCCCAACTCGTACAAGGTAAAACCCATACCAGACAAATCAACCATGGTGCTCTGGGATGATCGACCGCACCTTGGAGCTTGGCAAGTCCCCATTAACTGAGTTATCTAGACGAAGATTATGTCTCAGTTATTCGAGTCCCAGTAATACATCTTACTAACATAGAAAAGTAATTTCAAGCAAAAACAACGTGCAGCCCGTATTCAACAACTTGAATCCTACCATGCCCCCTTCAGCGATCTAGACAGAGAGATCGTCAACAAGCCTATTAAAGAACTTGTTCAAGAGGCCCAAAATGATTCAAGCAAAGCTAAAGAAAATCTTGACACTTATGGGAAGGTGGCCCTCAACGCACATGAGAAGACCAACTGTCTGACAGAAGTCATGGTCTTTGCTGCTAAACTTGGCTTGCAAATGGATCAATCAACTTGAAGGGACCCCTAGCGGGAATTCCTGTGAGCTTGAAAGATACTGTTGAAGTGGAAGGGTATGATAGTACTGTTGGTATGAGTACACACATTTCCAAGCCGCTCAGACAGGATGGAAATATGGTTAGGATCTTGAAAGACGCGGGCGCTGTGCCGTATGTCAAAACGAACGTCCCTATCACGCTCCTAAGCTTTGAGTCATCGAACCATGTCTGGGGAGAGACGGCCAACCCATATAATAAGGAATATACCGCTGGCGGTTCAACAGGTGGTGAAGGTGCATTATTGGCACTAGGTGGTCGAATCGGCATCGGAAGTGATGTCGCCGGTAGTGTCCGATGCCCGGCTCACTTTTCCGGTTGCTACGCTCTCAAATGTTCGACGGGTAGATGGCTCAAGACAGGTGTTGTGACGAGTATGCCAGGTCAAGATGGTGTTCCGGCAGTCTACAGCCCCATGGCACGTACACTCAACGACTTGACTTACTTCACTCGATCGATTATTCAGATGAAGCCCTGGACTTATGACTATTCTTGTCACCCATTGCCCTGGAGGTCCGATATTGAACAGGAGTACACAGAGAAAAAGAGTCTGCGAGTGGGCATTCTTCGTTCAGATGGTGTCGTTGATCCAAGTCCTGCCTGCCAAAGAGCCTTGGAGATGACTGAAGCTGCGCTTAGAGAAGCAGGACACGAAATTATTGAGATCGATCCTCCTTCTCCTTACGAAGCCCTACGCCTAGCTTCCATCCTTCTATGCAGTGATGGTCTCCAAACTGTCAAGTCCTTCTTCAGCACAGGCGAATCGAACGACCGAGGTGCTGCCCAAATGACCTTTTATTTTAATCTTCCTCGACCCATTAAGTACTTACACTACCTCTGGGTGAAGTACGTCCGCAAGGATGATATCTGGGCTGGACTTCTGCGCAACTGGCACCCTCAATCTGGGTACGAGATTTGGCAGCTCAATGCCCAACGGGAGCTTTACAAAAGACGCTGGTATGATTGGTGGTCCAACGCAGGAATTGATTGCATGATTGCGCCTCCAAATGCTACCCCGGCCGTTCCTCACAAAGGCATGCATGATGCCTGCAGCAGCTGCGGCTATACGTTCATGTTTAACTTGGTATGTCTCAACGTTCCATCGCTCATCAGGGAAGCTAACATCTGCAGCTTGATTATACCGCCGGCGTTCTACCGGTCACTCATGTTGATAAAAGTCAAGACCAATTACCAAAAGACTTCAATTTCAAGAGCCTTAATGGCGTGGCGCAGGGTGCGTATAAACTATACGACGCCACCGCCATGCATGGGTTACCGGTGGGTGTTCAAGTAATTGGACGTCGATTGGAAGAAGAGAAAGTGTTGGCAATCATGAAGAGAGTTGAGGATGCTTTAGGTGATGAAAGATTCCCTTTGCTCGAACTAGACTAGAACTGAATGTTAATGTACAATACGCCCCCTTGGATTTCACTCTTGTCTCTAAATTGTTAGCCTAAATGACACGCCAGTTCAAAATAACGTGGTATCATGTAATATCAAGAACTCTGAACTCAATCACCATTTTGGTCCCATCTCTTAATTTTCCTTCTGTCAACCTAGTATCCTCCCACTTTAACAAAATCAATTCTACCATACTTGTCCTGTACAGGTCTCTCGCCGGCAAAGCAAGTGTATTGTTGGTTGGCTCCGTGTTCAAGATCGAAGCCCTTGGGCCCCCAAGCCTTCTCCATCTCTTCGCGGAATTTAGACTTTGGCTTTCCAGCTTGGATGCGCTTCTTCTCGAAGAAGACATAGGCCGCGTAGAAAGTCACGTTGGTATTACCATCACGAGCTCCGCTGCGGCCCATGAAGTATCGCAGGTTGGCCTGGGACACACTCTTTCCTTCCGGGAGATTCTTGTTAAGGGCACGAATGAAAGCTGCTTGAGTCATGCCCTCCTTGGCCAATATGGGACGGATCTTCTTGCGAATTTCGTTGCAAGTGTCATAAACGGGAACTGTGCCCTGTGCCTCACCGGGTAGGGGATCAACGTTGCTCACATCAAGGGTCTCGTCGATAGCTTTGGAAGCAGCAGCAGTCTTTGGCTTCTTGGGTTTGTTAGCCTTGAGAGGCAGGCCCTGAAGTTCACGCTTCTTGAAGAAGTGGTGAGCTTTGGCGAATGTGTCAGTTCCATCACCATCCCAGGTACCAGTACGGTTCATGAAGCTGTTATAAGCCTTGCCGCTGACACCAATAGTCCTCTGGAACTCGCCAACCTTCTGGGCACCTGAATCGATCCAATTACGGATCTTGCGACGAACGGTGTTGCAAGTGTCCGAGTCTAGACGCTCAAGACGTTCATCATCACTGTCGATCTCTGGTGCGTCCTCTGGGAAGAGATCCTCTTGGGTGTTGTCGGCAACATCAGACTTGCGTTTCCTGGAGTTGGTGGATGGCGCAGGTGGTGCTGGAGCAGGGGCTTGAACGGGTGCGGGAGTGGCCTGGGCTGGAGATGACGTTTGGCTTCCTCCAGTGGGCATTGCCCTTGGCGTAGCAGAGGTAGCCATTGGAACAGGAGGAGGAGGTCCGCCTGATACTTGGTACCTGGGCGAGTGTGGTACAAAAGGTGGCGCTGGGTTGTAATACGCGGGTGGAGGAGCTGGAGCAGCAACAGGAGGAGGTGCTACCATGTTATTATAAACGGGTGGCGGAATAGAGTTCCCATAGCTGGCAGTGGGAGCATAGCTAGGGGTTGCTGGAGCTTGAGCTTGAACGGGAGGATGAGGTAGATTGAGAGCCGGCATACTCGGCAGACCTTGGGGTGGAATATTAGGACGCGGTTGATAGTTCATATTGGACTGATTCATTTGAAGCATTGCCTGTCTAGGCGACCAAGACCAGCCTGACATTTCTGCAGGAAATAAAGCAATCGCAGCAGAGTTCGAAGGTTCGACGGATGTTAGTCAATGCTAGAGTAAGAGTGACGACTGCCGAACTATGACGTTTGTCTTGGTCCACGCTCGCTACCTTTTTTTTATTTTTACGCGTCGTCTGGGCTTGAGCTTGAGCTTGGGCGGATGAGAGGTGGGCGCGTTAGTTTTGAGCGGGGGAGCACCTGCGTTTTCAGGTACCGGCACTGTTTTTTAGCGTCTGCTCTGCGACAGAAGCCCCACTATGCTTCTCAGCCATTACCTTATTCCCGGGCTTGGAGTGTGCAGCAAATGGCATGGGAGGTACCTGCCTCCGATCGTGGAGTATCTCACATCGGACATGCATTAGCGTCAGGAACACCGACAACATCATGCTCCGCTTTCTTTTGCTTTCCTGCTCACATCTGCACTACCTCTTCCCTTAGTACCTTTTATCGTAACTTTTCAAAGGAGTGCTTCCGGAACCACATCCTTCCTCTCGTACCCTACCTCGCAAACATACATAACACAGGTACCTGTTTCATGAGAAGGTTGAGTTCCATGGTGCCACGAAGCACGCCCACGTACTAAACACAAAGCGGCACGAAATTTAAGTAAAGTCATTCTGGGGACGCTCAACCTAAGAGACGTAATAATTTAGATAATCTTATCTATCCAACTTAGACAAGCATTTAGGCTACTTTATTTTGTATGGAGTGGAGGCTTAGATTATAGATTTGCGATCCTGACTCAACATTGTCCTGCTTCAGCTATTACGGCCACTTCTCCGACTTGTTCGATGGATTTATATCCGACAAGGAGTAGACCTTTGACAAGAGGCAAAGCTTCCGTCCGAAGTTCCAGAGCCATTTAATGTCGGACTTTGCAGTTACGCTTGGAGAGATGGTGTTCGAGATATACCTCGTTTCTGGTCCTGCTTGCGACAATTTTGACTTGTCCCTGAGCACCGATGTGGATATGCCATGAACGTAGGAGCAATAGAAGTCACCAGTGCCAGCATGAGAGGGAACTAGGTAGGTACATAGCTTTAGACCAAAGTTCGCAAAGATGTTCTCTAAAGCTTAGGCTACTAAAATAAAGTAGTCTAAGATCTACTATAATCTAGCATAAAGTAATCCGCTTATTTCGTCTCTTATGATTTTAGCAATCAATTCTTCTGGCACCCTGACGCCAGGGCCATCTCGCAGTTGTACCAGTAACCCTGACCATAAAACTCTCCAATACGTTGACTGTCTTGGATCATCAAGTGGGGGTCCAAAGTGCAGACACTCATTTCTCTGGCAGCGCATCTTTGTAGTCGATGTTGTACTTGTCGAAGAACCGCAGCCTCTCTGCGACCTGCTGCTTGTATATATTGCGGATGAGAACCGGGCGATGGACTGCAATTGGGCGCAGACTGGGATCGAGGAAGTCTTCGCGCTCTTCCGACGGGTCAAGAGAGAGCAAATGGTTGACTCTTTTTTGCCCAATGAATATCATGTACTCGCGATTGTACGCCTTTGAGCGTGCCTCAACAAAATTCTCGCGAGCTATCACAGCTTCTTCTCTGATGTGTTCAATGGAGTTATATCCAATAAGGATTAAACCTCTTGGAGAGGTATAACTTCCATCGGATGTCTTCCAAAGCCATTTGATCTCAGAGTTTGCTGTCGCACTTAGGACGAGTCAAACTGAGTTATCAGCTTGACTTCCTGTATCATCCGTCTTCGGTGCCTTTTTTTTTAACCTTAGAGAGGCTGTTGTCTTTCGCTTTCTTCTTCTTTGCTCTTGCAGTCGTGGCCAAGGGATCAAGCACCTCAGCGTTGAAATTGATAAAAGCCGTCAGTTTTGACAATTCGACGAATTTGAGCATATGCGGGAAACAGACGACGAATTCTGGGAGCGAAAGGTTCGGATACTCATGACTTGTCTTTATTTTGCAGATCAAAGAAGATCACAGTAGCAGCCAATGCCAGGTTAAGAGATATCACATAGTTCTTGAGTTGAGACAAGAAATCTTTCATGGCTGTAATCATAGCCTTGGGGAATTTGAACCAAGCCAAACGTGGCCACTTCAGTTCAAAGTGAATATCTTGATATGTGATATTACTGAAGAGATTCCTCATCCGTGATTTCGTCGTCTGGGCCTTGTTGTTTGGGAAAACACGAGCTATCGTGGAAGATATGCTCGGCAGTTCGGGCTCACGCTGCTTATGTTCATGCTGGAGCTTGCGGTTGAACTGAACTTGCTCTTCGCCTTCGAGTCGACCCCGCAACCCGTCCTTGGCATATTCGAAGTTTCCTGGAACTATTAGGTTCTCATGCCAGATAATGTCAATTCCGCAACGTATCCCGTGTGGGTAAGTTTGGAAGACTGTCGAGACTAGAGGGTGTTCGGGTTCTTCGATCTTTTCGAGTTGACACTCCTCGATCTGCATCACAACAGGATGCACCCACTTGTTGGAGAAGCCAACCATGACTCCCCCGACTTCCAAACTTTCCATGCCAGGTTCATTCTGATCCAGATTCGTCTCATTTGGTCTGTATTCCAGTGGTAGACAGCATCTTCTCAAGACTTGGTAGCCTACAACGGGACTGTTGGGTTCTCTCGAACCTTCATGGAAGCTGATGTTATCGTGTCGTTGATGGGCTGGTTGAGGGGACCACAGCTCTTCTCTGCTCTGTGTGAGGACATGGGCAAGATGTGGGGAGCCATAGATATCAGATTAGCCCCAAATATGAACACAACGGTATGCTCTTTCTGGTAATTGATATTGATCCGAATCTTCATGATGGACAAACTTGTCGCTGGGAGACTCGGGGTTTAACATCCACTTGTCATCGATGAGTATCTCATCAGAAGTGCCCCAACGAGCCGAGAATACATCGTGCGCCTCCTGGCCAATGTAATGACCTTCCTCGTCCTGAAGCCTTACAGGCGGAGGCAATAGGGAGCGAGACCACGCTCTTTGTGATGCCACTTTTCTTGAAGACAAAACGGAAGTCATGTGCTTTGATGATCTCCAACAACGGAAGTGAAAAAGTCTCGCAGTTCGCTGTAAGCATCATCACTCTTCAAGTCATCACGAAGTTGAAAAGCGCTGGGTGATCAAGCTCATTCAAATTCCAGTCAACGAATTGAACGGCCTTCGGGAGCTATCCGACTCGTGACAGTGAGATACTCCAACGGACAGCGCCGGTCTGTCGCTGCTTGCATGTGACCTGAGTTGAAGTCTCATCATTGCTGGTGATATATATGCGTGAGGCACGCGGCCTCGCCTTAGTATAATCTATATGTTCGCGGACGACGAGTGGCACAGTTGGCCTAGATTCAGTGTTGGCCTGGATGCTAAAGATGTATTAGTAAAATTTAGCTAAAGATGGCCTAAATCTACTCACAGACTTTATGATGAAGGAGGAATTCATGATGGATGATGGACAGGGAAAGAGATGGAAGGAGAAGGAAGACAGATGGAAATTGCAGTCAGAGACTGCTGTCAGGTAGCGCAACAGAAGAGAAAGAAATCCATAGAAAGAATTGCTGCCTGCCCGGGTAGTACCAGGTATGTTAACCTGAGGCAGAAATCGCACTTCGCTTGTCCTTCATTTACCAGCAAGAAAACCGCCTGGTATTGGAAAATCAATCACCAAAAGGTCCATCTATACGCAAATAGCACCACAAAATCCTCGTGCAATAACCAAACATGGGTTTTTACAAGTCAACTTTCAAGCTCCACCAGGGAGCCAAAACAAACGTCAACAAAGACAAAACTCGCTGAAAAATCATACACAGGATAATAACACCCACAAACATGACATAAACAACATACGCAAACCCGCGGGTCACTCATCGACAAAAGCGTAAAGGGCGCCTCGAAACCGTCGAAGATCGATCACAAACACAGGGTCTAGGCGTCCATCTTTCTAGGTGCTGACCCAGGTTGCATGGTAGGGCTGAGACTCCACTTTGGACGCCACCGGTAGTTGAAGGGGGCGTGCAGATAACCTAAGCCCCATTTTTACGAATTGTTCCTCTGCTGGACACTCCATCAACCTTTCCTTCACATCACCTCCATCCCATGATTGCCGTCCCCTTTCGCAGAGGGCATCTTCTCCTCATCGCCGTATCCTGTTTGCAAGGTCGGCAGTCTTTTCGTCACCGCCCTTGTTATATCCCTTCGCAAGCCTCAGGGTGTGACAAGAACCGGCCGCTCAGGCATAAGAGACGAAATGATTAGATCACTTTACGCAAGTTTAGACCAGCACCTAGACTACTTTATTTTCCTGGTCTAAGTCTTAGGAGATATTTGTTCTGTCACCCACCTGGAAGGACAGCTCTTCCCTGCCGATGCATATCCAAATCCTACCAAACTGCGTTACAGTCCCTGCACCATACAGTACGTGCCTTCAATCCTTATCGCGTTGTATATCCTCTGACAGTTTATAGACATGCCCCCCAAAAAGGCTGACTCTCGTGCTTGCGCACTATGGTTGCTCAAGAGCAAAGCCATTATCGGAGGTGAAGCTTTAGGTCTTCCCAGGCTCATTCCGAATCTTAGCATCCGTTTCCATGCTCCTTACTGTGGGAAGCTGTATGTGGCTATGGTCATGAGTCTTCCCCTCGGAGAATACCTCAAAACCACTGTTTTCAACAATCACGCGGAAGTAGCCAAAGATCTTACCGTGACCCTCTGTTTCTACAAGAGGAAGTTCCAGATCAAATCGGCAGATAAGCTTAGCGATGAGCTTTGTGTCCTCATTATGGGCCAGCAGGATACCAGCAACAACGAGTTGTTCAATCTCCCTGCATTCTGCTTCCGTTCCGGTTCACTTGTATCATATCAAGCGGCGCAGAACTTAACCCGCACGAAAAGCATCACCAGACATGATCATTGCAGGTGATGAACGACAACTCCCTCAACCATCACGCTCACCACTCAGAAGCAGGGTGACGATCTCCTCAATGCGTTTTCTCTTTTCGGTCGCGTCTCCGTGCTTGAGTACTTCAAGCGGACTGGCATGGGATGTTTCGTGCTCAATGAGCAACCCCGGATTGCGGATGAATGGGAGAGAGGGGCGTGCGGGTGGGTGACTTAGATGAAGTTGGATAACAAGATCTCAATTGTCAGTGGCAACAGATAATCGTTGCAGTACGAGGCACACATGTATAACAGATGCTGGTCTCTGGCAGCAAATGAAACATCTAAAGATGACATAAAAGTTAGACGAACAAGCAGTCTAGTTAGTCTAAGTTATCCTAAATTGCCTAAGCTTTGTCGTTTCTTAGGCCAAATGTACGATGTTTGTGGGAATACTTGGTGTTTTGGGTGCAAACACCCATTATTTGTGGGCGGGGGAGTGTAGAACGACATGGAAAGTGGAGGATGGCCTCCTCTGTCTTGCATGCCTCCCCTGCCTATAACTTCAACTCCCCTCCCCTCCCAAAAACCGTACACTGGCACTTCATTTTTCTCCGCCTGTGCAAAGAGTGCTACTATAGTAAGTATTGTTCTCCTACAAGATCATCCTTTGGATACAGATCAGCTTCTGACTGGCCAGATATATACCTACTATACGAGGCCATTCGCAGATCCAATCCTGATGCCGGTTCTGATAACGCATCTGACCACGCGTTCCGAGGCCGCTGGGTCGATTGTATCGACCTAGGAATCCCTCGCGGATATCGGACCATGCTCATCACCCATCCAGAGATTGAGGGCGCGTCTGCTACAAAAATGACTCTGCCCGCCTCCACCAACAAGAGCCATCTACCTTAAAGATTATATTATATACCTGTTGAACACCAATCTACTGGACTAAAAGCTTTCTACGATCGCTTGCACGGTGCCCTTGAGCGTATCGGAATTGACGCTGCTTCTCACTTCCCCGTCATGAGACTGTACTCTATGGAAGGTGAAGTCAGCTCATCTTCAATGTTTAAAGGGGTATAACGATTATGGCCACTTCATGCCCCATTCCACCAACAGTTAGGTAATTTATTTTCTTTGTCAAAACTTAGAAGATAACGTTTCTAACATCAAGGCAGAGTCACTGGCAATCAACGTTTGCCATATAAGCATGACGATACATATATATATATATATACAGCCTATCGAGGCAGAGTCGACGGATTTTGACTTCTGGGTCACTTCTGACTTCGTAAGCCATACTTGCTACTAAATACCCATTTCATTCACTAATTCCCGTCCAGAAATCCGGCTACCAGAACATCGTTTCTCGGAAAACCAAGCCAGAGGCCGAGACATGGGCAATTGACAAGCACATTGGTCTCGCCGCCTCTCCTTGGTGGGTACCTATATTACTATACAACCAGGGACAATGTGATAAGGCCTTCGAAGGTGCTATCGCCTTGATCAGCGACACGGAGATAACTCCCAACGACATTGTCATGATCACACCCTATCGTGGCAACCTAGAGTGCCTTGAGTCTATTCGCAACGCTAAGGCCAAGGGTATACCCGACATTGCGAATATCCCTATCAATACAACAGACTCCTTTCAGGGGCGCTCAGGGTATGTTGTAATTCTGGTACTTGGCGTCAATCAGTCCAGTGGTCCGCGGTTCGTTGCCAACAAGAACCGCCTTTGCGTTGGAACCACTCGCCATGTTGGAGCTTTATTTGTGTTCGGTGAAGTCGATACTGTCCCTGAGGCTATGGCAGTGGCTGAAAAGAACAAGACCTCCCTCTAGAAGAGTGATGACCTCGAGTCTGAAAGTGTTAGATCTGATGCCTTCTGGAAGATGCTCAATTGGTTCGGCCAGGCCAAGCGTGTCGCAAGCCTGGAGTGGTTTGATCCAAGCGGTCCTGGTATGGAGTCTCAGCTAGAGGATCTCAATCGCAGAGGCGATCTCGAACCACGAAAATCATAAGGAAAGGAAATAGGAGATAGGAGATAAAAGAATTTGGATACTTTATGTTAGCTTAGACCAGTGTTTAGGCTATTATTCTTTTAAATATTGTAAGGCTTAGATAACAATTTCTTTAAACTTTACTTAAGCTACTTGGGCAAATCTTCCAAGCCACCCCTAGGCCAGATGGACTTCACCGAATCTCTGTTTGATATCCTTCAATAGCCAATGGATCGGAGTAACATAAGTCATCGCATCTATCACGACTACCCTTCAAGCCACCCGTAATCATGCCTCCAACCTGACCGTTAAGATTCTCAATACACTTTTCGCGTTCAGAAATAATCTAATCGTAAACTTCGTCTGTGGGCTGCATAACCATAACTGCATTTTCGTAAATGCTGTGCCGATAGTCTCTATAGTTGTTGAACTTTCCACTTCTTTTGCCTGGAAGGAGCACTACATGTCGACGAGTAAGTGCGTATGTCTTTTGGCTCCCATCCCGTAGATATAAACCCTTAGTGACTATAACACCTTGGTAATCTGTGGGCGAGAGTGCCTCTTTCGTTCCCCGGTTCATACTTGCGTAGATGTCTAAGAGAAATCGAGGGGCGGTTTGAGCTAGGATGCCTTGAACACCAGGCAACTCAGCGGCAAGATTTACAAACTGCAGCGTAACGGGAGCGAAGTCCACGATGTGCTGGTACGCTTCAATTGCCCTGTCGCATGGTGGCGGATTGGCACTCGCCGTATTCTTCAGACTATTGACTGCCAATGACTCTGCTTTGATAGGTTTCATAGAAACGTCCATCTTCATGCGGATACTCTGAGCGTTGTCGCATTGGGTAAGACGATCAAAGAATGCTTGAGTGTCTTCTTGACCGCCAGGTGTAATGTCTTCGACACTGATATCAACAGGAATTGCAATTCGTCATTGTTACCTGTTACATCATTTTTGACAAGGACTCTCACTGCAGAGACGTAGTACCTTGAGTGAATGTGCGGAATCTGAAGACCAATGTGTTTCGCACTACACCAGAGGGGCTCATTGTCAACATTGCCCTGAGCTACTTCTCCGTTTGGCAGACGCAGGAGAGTATTCGTCGCTTCCATGTTGAGTAGTTGATCCCTGATCCGATCATACTTCTCTCCATCGTTGATATCATCATCGTGTAGCAGGTTCGTCAATAGCGCTTGCTCGTCGTCAGTGAATTGACGTTGAAGATATGGCTCCGCGGCAAAGTTGAGGGTATCAACATTCTCGTCACCCTGCACTTCCACAATCGCTTAGTGGATTGGGTGGTAAGCTGCTCGTTGTTCACTAAGATCAAGGCAGCAGGGTGATTGGTGTTTGTGTGGCAACATCATCTGCGTTGGCAACGGAAGATACCTTGCAAGCCTCGCCTACTCAGTTCCAGTTGATGGTGACACCGGTTCCGTCTTGGGTTGTGCTCAAGGCTCAGGGACTTGCTCCCAATTTGGTTTGCGGAACTAGGAAGTCCTGCCACAGTGTGTTGCCAGCGGACCACATTAACAGTGGAAAAGAAGTGGGCGAATAGCCTTGGTTCAGCATCGATGATACTGTCTGTGACAGTTAAATTGTCACTAGCCGCATTAGCAACGTGAGAAGTCTTAAGACTGGTGGATGATGTGCCGGATGCTGAACCATTGCCTGATTCAAGAGGCAGGCGGGTTTCCAAATAAGCTGCCTCTCGCACACGCCACGCCTCAATTCATTTGGAGCAAGCTTCAATATTGTTGAACTCGTCATGGGACTGAGGGCTGGGGAATTGGCAGAGTGTGTGACAGTAGATTGTATAAAAGACTTGACATGCTCATCTGCTCACACCCCATGGACGTCCTTAAGATGAGCGGCAAATTTGCAACGCGTGCCGAAAGTCTCATTGCTAGCACAATCATGATAGGTGCATTTCTGAGGTTTGTAAAACTTGGCCCTGGTTCTCGGAGGTGTTGTAGGTTCAAGCGGCTCTGGATTGTCTTGAACGTATAGATCGATATTAGCCTGAGCCTGGTGCGATGATCTTAAATGTTCACCATATTGCTTTCGACTGCCGAAAACTTGCTGTGAGTTGCAACCCGGGTATGAGCAACGTTAGGGAAGAAAACTGTCCTTTTTTTGGGCTTCCCGTTTCTGCTTAGGCACCATGCGCTCGATTTCTTCTTTCGAAATTTCAGGGCGGACGTTTCGAGCATGGCTGTTGAGCGTAGCGAAAGACTGAACAACCAAATCGCAGACCCAGCATTGATTCGGGAGCTCACGGTGGGCTTGATCAGTATGCAATCAAAGGTCTTGTCTTGTCGGGAAAATCGTTCCGTCATCACAGCCTGGCCATGGGCAACGCCGCGGCTGCCAGGTGCAGTCATTCTTGTGTACATCGAGTTTTGCCTGGGTCTCGTACAGTACTTATTACCGCTTGGAGCGACGAAGTTCGCCTGCTCTGGCAGCGGTGAGGATTGCATAAGGAGATACAACGCCTTCCCCATACTGATATCGAGTTCCAAAGCGTCAGGATAAAGTAGCCTAAATCCTGATCTAAGCTAGCATAAAGTGATCAAAT